AGCTCCTTGTGTACAAGTGTTCTGCAGCGCGCGAGGAAAATGATGCAGTGTCCTATGACGTTTTCAGAAGGACTTGCGTCAATCAGTGCTCTGATGTGGAGTTTATAAAGCCGCAAACAGATGTATGTGCAATGTGGCAACAGTGTGGGTGCGCGAGATCTGCGATGGTCCTGAATTTAAGAAAAAATTTATTGAAAGCCAATGCTGGCGTTCCAGTTGGTCGCCCTGCCATCCTTGCGCCCAGTGGATCGTGACAACAGCGCTGCTCCTACCTCAACAAGGAAGTACTGCCCTATCTTAGCCAAGGCAAAGAAGCAACTTGGGCTTAGAAAACATCGTGTATGTAGAACAAACGACAGTGAAAGATGAAAATACTGTTTGCGATAGTAGAATATGGACCCCAAGACATTATATAGTGATTTTAAGCATGATTTATGTGTCGTATCAGTCTGAAACTTTGTACAGATGTTCACTATGTCCATATAAACAAATTCCAATCAAAAAACAATTTTTCAAAATTTGACCCCTTAGGTCTGTTTTTGCTTTGGATGGCCCGTATATCTTCCACCATTGAAATTTCGAATATCTTGCTGAGAGGGGTGCGTTGCAACCTCGATATGGCTTGTTCCAGGCATGCTTTGGAGCCACCCCCTGTTGAAGTAGTGGCCGGGATCTGCCCTGCAACTGCTACAACAAAAAATGATTCGATCTGAGAAAGGGTGAGACCGCGAATCTCGGTTGAATATTGAGTATTTTGAGCCTTTTCACGATGAAGATGGAGTTCTTTTTGGAGATGGACGTCGCGGCAAAGGACATGGTGTCCGACTTCTGGCGTCCGGTGAAGCCAGGGATCATTTTCCAGTCAGGTCGGCAGCCTAACCGTTGGTAAGCTTGTGTTTGGATCCCGTTCTGCTCGATGTGGTAGATCACAAACAATTTGATATCGCACAAATTGATCTCAGCATCGTGCGTACGGTATTTTATATTCAGAAAATCCCAAAATGTCTCTGTGTGGCCATCCTATGCCACGAGAAACTCCAATCAGGCTCCTATGTCCTCTGTTTTCATGATTGAATGTCCACTTCATTTGAACAACGAACACAACAATCGAGGACGGCTTTCCAATGAAAAATACAGCTATACTGGAGCTGAAAAAAGAAGAAAAAATACGGGCTCAGGATGAGATTTGAGTACACGCATACTCTCCCAGCAGGTGAAATGCATTTTTTTGTGAAAAATGCGTGTCGCCTACTGACCAGTAATTTCGCCTGACATATTTCGTCTTTCATATTTTCCACCTTCTACTTTATAGGTGGTTGAGCAGCAACATTCGGCCGTGCACAGACCAATCACTACTTCAAAACTCCACTCTGCCCCCCCCCCCCTCCCTCCTTCTCCCCCTCCCCCCCCCCACAACTCAATCAATCCTTCGTTCTGTGACAACGTCCTGAGCTTGGCCGAAGAGTGTAGTTGTGGTGTGGTGTTTGATGACAAAAATTATCTGCTTCTCTTCTTGTAAAACTGAAATGCATAGTAAAGTGAGGATAAAGTGATATCTGATATGCATAACCCAGATGCATAACCACCCATATAATTTGTTTCTCTGAGCAATATGTGACCTACACTATAGCTCAGTGGTTAGAGAATCTCTGGCCTCAAGCGAAAATCTCTGGTTCGACTCCTGGCGGGGACAGTCATTTTGTTTCTTTAGACTTTTCCTTTCTCCAATCCCTCAACTAGTAAATATGCGACCTGTTAAAGTATTATTAAAGTGATAGTTGTTTATGAACAACACAGCGGAGTGTGTGATACGTTCACTTACGTATTTCACATACGACAAATGCGTTGAAATTCAGGAAGCGGGAGCTTCCCGTCGTCACAAACACTGTCTTAGCAGTCTCCTTTTTATTGAGCCAAGCCGTCATCGATGAGTTGAGCAGATCGTAGGTGCAATGATGCTGGAAAGCTCTCTTGCTGAGAAGAGTTCCATTCATCCTAGCACACAGATCCAGACCTGTCGTGTAGTTAAAATACTCTCCGATCCGAGTGCGCATGAGAGTAGTTTGTGTTGCAGCACAGTAGCGGTAGCCAGTGAATTCTGAAGAATGAGCAAATGAAATAAAGCAAATCGTCAAAGCAAAAAAGACAGCAAGGAGAAAAGTAAAGTAAATTATCGTATCCGTTCCCGAAGGGAACTCACGACGGCCGCTAACACCCGATAAACCCTAGCGGCAGATGCAGCGCCTAACGGTGGGGGTGAGTGGGTAAGTCTCACAACCACTGGCACAAGTGCCGAAAGCGACCCCATTAGCTGCATCCATGTACCCCTTGTGCCTGGCCACAAGTTCCCAGTTGACTGAGGGTAGCAGCACGGCTGAAAAAACCGCTCCCAGGCAGGACTTGAACCAGGTACCTCTCGTATCTCAATCATGGTCTTTGACCAACCCACTGTGCCTGCCTGGTTGCAAGGAGAAAAACATCATCAGAAAACGTCCCTCGTTTGATTCGCATCCGTCTTCTCCGTGCCTTTTTCACATGGTTTTGTTTCCCTCCTCTTTTTCATGTCAGTACCTTTAAAAATATTTTCCAAGAACAGTGGTAGCATGGCCAGTGAGAAGGCAGATATTGCCTGTGTGGTTCCGCCCACCGCCCGATCTATAACCCTCAGGGTAAGACTCTGGTGTCTTTCCTTGATCCTCCAACACAATCCCACACATGTGATAATCACCCCCGAAATTTACATATTGCTCACATGGGGTAGTGCCCTTGCTATATGCGTTATGCAGAGCTCACTGTCAGTTGTCAGTTTGAGCACTCTGGCAAGAGACGTTCGGGCCTGGTTTAAATCTGACTTTGGAAAATTTATTTTTCATTACTATCAGGTTCGGCGCCATTTCCTCTGTGCTGCACAGATGATTCCACAAAGGACGAAACAGTTCTGTCCGCAGATTAAGTATTCGTGGCTTTCCTGCCGACTTCAATTCTAACTTGAGTATTGCTCACACAAATATATGCAGTTTAGGTAACAAAGTGAATGAGGTATATGAAATTCTCTAGGATAAGCAATTTGATATACTAGCTGTTTCTGAAACACTCCAGTCTCCGGCACAGATGTACCTATTCCTGACTTTACCTTACATCATCTCGACCGCACTGGACATAGAAGTCATGGCGGTGTAGGTGTCTATGTAAGAGAGACCCTTTCCTCCTGCTCAACTCCTTTCAACAATCCTCAGCACTTAGAATTTGTATTCATCAGTGTGTACACCAACACCTGCCGTCCACATCACAAGGCCCATATCGGCTGTATATACAGACCACCATCATCACTAGCTAGCTATTGGGAACACCTAAAGCATTGCCTTGATAATGTTCAGGACACATTGCATACTGATTTCATGCTACTCGGTGACCTCTCGTAGACATGCTGCAGAACAGCGCACATCCCATGCATGTCAGAGATCTCAGCTCAACTTCCAGCCTGGAAGGTGTCATCCTGGCCCCCAAGCTCACAGAAAACCATTCCAAAACCAAACATGCGACTCCCCTTTGTGTTGTTGTCCAGTATCACTTCAGTTGTCCTCTTCCCCTGATTACTAGTAGAGCTGTGTTTCAGTAAAGTTAAGTAAATTATCGTGTCTGTTCCCGAAGGAACTCACATTGCTAGCAGTATGCAGCGAGAGTATATGTGGTGGGGCATAATTATGGCGCAGAGAATGCGCGAAGAGTATATGTTTAACTTTAAAGCGTGAAAATAATGTTGGCCACTTGATGCAATGCAAAAGGTGGGAGTGTTCTAAGTGTGTGTAAAGGGGAAGGTGGAGACATATTCTGGCGGCTTGTTGTTGTTGTTGTTTATTTTACTTCACCAAATGAACAGGCAGAGATGCCTTCTCACCTGCCCATAGGACAGGTTCTCACAGAATGATGAAGGGATGATATGCAAGGCAAAACAAGAAAATGATAATAATATAAGACAGAAAGGACCAAAAGAAGAAAAGGAAAAAATTATATAAAGACAATTTCATGGAGTCAGAAATAGAAAGACAATAATTTCATGGAGTCAAAGAATAGAACCTGTTATTGAGCACTCCTGCTCGTTTGGTCTCGCGAATCCAAATAAAATCAATCAATCTATCAATAGAAAGAAAATTTCATGGAGTCAGGAATACGTGGTTGATTTTATAGACATGCATGCACAAATGATTGCTTTCGACATGTCCCTTGTTATTCCATATCCAGGAAGAACTTGTTTGTTGTTAACCAGACGTACCTACGTGATTTTTTCCAGGCAACTCATACGGTAAGACGGCAAACTTCGCGGGAGATCGACAGGATTGCTAAACATTTGGAAACGCAGTGGAAGGGCGCCATCAGGCAAAAAGGTAAAATCCAATCAGAATAGAACCACTTTAACAATGAATACAGTCAACTTTGCTTATAACGACACTCGGTGGGGCGTCAAAAAGGTGTCCTTATTCGCGTAGTGTCGTTATACCTGAAGTCTCATTATATGTATTACAGTGGGATGGGACTTTGCTCTGGGCCAGGAAATTCTGTCGTTTATAATATGCGAGAATTGTCATTATATCCGCAGTCGTTATTAGCAAAGTTGACTGTATATCGGGCTTTGCAATCAAATTATTCGGATGATATTTCATACTCATCACACCACTTACCTACACAAACTGGCAAGTTTTTTTGTGAGCAGTAGCGCAGGTGACTGAAGGATTCCCCACAATGTGAGAACCTGGTTTGCATGTGTAACGGACAGCTTGAGAATAGGTAATAGAGGATGCACTCGTATTTACATAAGCATTGTTAATAGCCGGAACATTGCAAGTAGTATCTGTGCAGAAAAGGAGACAAAAGTGGCAAATTAAAATAATATCGCAACAAAAGGACACACTGTACAGTAACTATTATGTGTTGAAGATGTATAACTGAACTACAATCTTATTATTGTGTCTCCTTTATTCACTTCTTTCGAAGTCAATACGTCAGACCCACAGGGAAGATATTTCCATGGGTGAGACAGCAAAAAGAAAGTGAAAAAATCAAAAGCTAAAAACCAAAAAAAAAAACTTTTGCAGCGACAGGTATTTTACAAGTGATAAGGACGTTGAGATCGGCGGTCAAAGCTTGTAACTTGGTGAGCCGAATGATATTATGGGGATTATTAAGACATTGGGATTTGGAATCGGTACCAGTCTATTACTGAAGCCTCTAGAGTCCGCAGTAATATGTAGATATGTAGACTATAAATTTAAAAGACAATACCAGGTGGAAATTATTCAAACTACGGCCGTTTAGATAAGGGAAGAAAACATTCAACGGACAAAAGGAAGTATCTTATGACTTGGTGATTTGATTGTTTGGACTTGCGCCGTAGCATGGGAAGGTGGATCGCGAAATTAGTTTAGATCTAGACTTAGAGAAGATGAATAATTATTTTGATTTTCGACCGGAATAGTAATTAGAATCCAGCAAGGGGTTCGGAGAGAGAGAGAGAGAGAGAGAGAGACAGAGAGAGAGAGAGAGAGAGAAAGAGAGAGAGAGAGACAGAGAGAGAGACAGAGAGAGAGACAGAGAGAGAGAGAGAGAGAGAGAGAGAGAAAGAGAGAGACAGAGAGAGGGAGAGAGTGGCACCATTAGTATTCCGACTTGAAGTTAGTTCTTGACTCGGGACTCTGCACGGCGGCGCTGCGACTCCACCTCACTCGTTTGGCAAAGCGCAGCCCTGGAGAGTTTCTCAGCCGGTGCGGCAATGCTACCGAATCCGACATAGATGTAATCATCAGCATTGGAGGCATCACTCCCAGCCATGGTCGGTGCTGCCTGCGAGGCTGAAAGCTGCTGGTTTTCCTGATTCGACGCTCTCCGAGCTTCTTTGCCTCTGGTCGATAGAGCTTGGGACGGCAGGTGCGTATCTGCCACGCTGTATATCCCCTCATCGTCTTCAACGCATTGGTCGGTGCTGCTGCAGCCTTCCACATGTGTCGGCTGAGAAGAGAGCTTATACGATGCGACATGCCGTGTAGAATCACCAATGGTTGATCCTTGTAGCAGGTTTGCGGAAGAAGACTTGGTGACGGTCTGGGTTCGGCCACGGTTCACTTCCGATTTGCTATTCTTACGAAGAGCAGCCGTTGATGCATTGTGCCACCCTCCAGACAGCTGCTCGAAGCCGACGTAGTTGTAATCGGATTCCTCGGCGTTCTCGCCAATCGATTGCTCAGTGTTTGGGGTATGGCCAGACTGCAGGTGAGTGTTTGACGTGGCTGGTTGCTGCTGTGCTCTCGCTGTCTTGTTGCATTCTCTGCTGGATTTTCTCACTGTTTGGCGTATTCCGCTATCGTTCAAAGTCAATTCGCTGTCCATGTATAGATCTTCATCCTCATTAGCAAAGCTACTGACTATATCCACTACGCTGATTTCTGACTGGGGTCCACGTTTAGGCATTCCGTCAGCAGATCCGACGTAGGTGCTTGTGCTCTGCTGTGCTCTCGCTGTCTTGTTGCATTCTCTGCTGGATCTGCTCACTGCTCTGCGTGTTCCACCGTCACCCAGGGTCAATTCACCATCCATATACAAATCCTCATCGTCAAAGCCGCTGACCATGTCCACAGCGCTGATGTCTGACTGGTGAGGTTCCTTAGCCATGGAATCAGCGGTTCCAGCATATGTGTTCGCACTCTGCTGCATTGACGTGTGTCCGTCTGCATTGGCAAGCTCCTGATTGAGTACCTGCGTTGAAGATTGTGGCATATCCTGGCTGTTGGGTTTACCACATGGCTTGCAATACTCAGAGGAAGACAGAGGTTGGTTCACATCCACGAGACACTCCCTGCGTGTGCTCGGGCTTGACACCACGGCAGCAGATTGACCTGCTGGCTTGCGAATGCGTGGTGCAGGGCGTTGTGCTGCCGGCAGTTTAGAATACCCGCTCACCATATCAGCCTGGTGTGTGGCATGTGAGCTGGCACTAGCAACCGTCGCCGCAGCTGACGTGCTTCCCTTGTTTGGGAGATGAGAGTAGTTACTCGTCTTCTTGCTAGCGCTGTCCAGTGTGAGGTAGGAGCTATCTTCGGACTCTGACAGAAGCCGGTCTCCAGCCTTGGGCGAGGCGAACGGCGAAGGGTCGAACGAAACAGAGTCGTGGAGTCCCTGTCCACTGGCCATGTCTTGCGTGAGCACGCTTTCTCCTAGAGCCAAACCAGTGAGATTATTGGGATTGGATGGTGTACTGTCCTGGCCGCCAGACTCGTTGGAATCTTGCCAGCCAACGTTGCCCCTCGGAATGGCTCGATAGTGTTCATCGTCAGGCGATGCAGTCCACACTCTCAGTTTGCTGTGCTGGTCGGCAACATTGGTGTGTGACGAGCCCAGAATCGCGCACAGCCCTTGTACGCCGTCATCAGTGCTGGTTTCGGCTCTCGCCCTGGCCTCCCTAGTCGCTGCCGTGTCGTCATCCCCTAGGTCCCAGGCACTTCCGTCCACCGCGCTGTCAATCGTATCGTTGTTCTGCTCGTTTGCCTTCCGGCCGGGGCTGGGTGAACGGGACGATTGGCGCGGCCACAGCTTCTTTGCCAGGCCACTCAGAGTGGAGGTGCGTTGACTGCCACCCGACACTGCATTGATGGCGGTAAGAGAGTCTTCGTCGGCAGTCAGACTGCGATTGCACCGTGCATTGACGTCGTTTTGGCCTGCGAATGTCGCGGGCCCGTTATTGTCCTTGTCCACGCAGTCCACTCCAAGATTCTGCCAAGCCATCCTGCTGGCATACTCGTCTTGCTGCAAGTCCTGATCGTCTTCCATTAAGTCTTCAGACTGGCGCGCAGCTTCCTCCGACGATGACCCGCTGGCATGTCCGGCGGCTTGAGGGCTGTTGGCATAGGCGGTGGATTGGAGCAGGTTCGGATGAGCGGATGCACCCTGAGCGTAGTGGGAATATTTACCTTCTCGGCCGTTTGCGCCGTTTGTCGTGCGACCGCCGCGATCTGCAAAGTGCTCATTGTTGGTGACTAGGTCAAAGTCGAGCATCGCGCTGGCCGCACCACCTAGAGCGAACACGCGCTCTTGGTGCGTGTTCGTGTTCACATCCGTGCGTACAGTTCCGTACACGTTGGCATTGGCAGTGGCAGTTCTTGCCCGCCTGCTGCTGCTGCAGCTGCTGTGCTTCCTGGGGAATGCCTCGCTGGCGGTGGTGGTGGAGTAGATAGCGTCGCAGTTCCCAGCGTCACCACCGGTGTTGTCGCTACTGCTGCTGGTGCTGGCGGATTTGTCTGTGCTGGTGCTGCCCGCCACCGTGGACAGACGTAGTGGATTCAGATAACCTATGGCTGGGTCGGTGTTCGCCGCCACTGCGTACACATCGTCTCCTGTCTGCAGAGTGTTCAGGGTGGACGAGCTGCCAGAGCGAGCAGCCGAGGACGGGAAGAAGCAGACACCGCCGCAGTCCCCGGCCTCATAGAACGGATGCGACGAGTCGATGCTGTGCATGCGATTCTTCTTGTATGCCACCGCGTATGCCTTGTTGTCCTGAGCTAATGACTGAATCCAGGCACCGACTTCGCCACTGTTGGGATTGCTGAGGTTCCCCTCGATGAACGAACCCCGGTGGCTTTCTCGTCCGCTGTATAGGAGCGACGAGTCATCGGTCACCGTCTGACTGCGCAGGGTTTGCGGTGGCTTGACGTTACGCAGCCTGTGCAAACAGAAAGAACACCACCGCCACCACGCATGATGGCAAGACAACCGCAGCAACAACCACAATGGCAACGGCAACAGCAACCGCAGCAGCAGCAGTGGCAGCAGCAACAACAATAGCAACAAAATTTAATATTCAGTCAAATAGAATGTAGTAACGTAGAAGTTGCGACTCCGGCGGTATTAGTGATGAGGTTGATTGTTCCAACGAGGAACAAGCGCTTCCTGCCGAGCGTGATATGTGACTGACTCACAACTGCCATTCGCTGCACACAACGAGCACACCACACTTGCCACTCGGCATACCTGTAAGGACGCACCACTCCCTGCTCAATACACGGTTGATTGTTAGGCCTGGAGAGCAGTATGTTAGTGGTACTTTTCAGGCACAATCTTCCTCAGCCTACTCAAGCTCAAGGGATGAGAGGTGAATTCCGGGAAACAACTGTATATTGAGCGGGAAGTGGTGCTTCCTTGCAGGTTTGCCGAGTGCAAGGTGTGATATACTCATTGTGTGCTGTGAGTGGCAGTCGTGAGTCAGTCACTTGTCACGTTCGGCAGGAAGCTCGTCTTCCTGGTTGGAACGATCAACTGTATCACGTATAATGTCACATTATCGTACGAAAATATCATGTAGCAATGCACAGATAACTAGCATGTTCTCACGCACTCCATATTGCGCTACACATTGCATGATACAGTAAGACATGTTATTATAATAAGTCGCAAATTCAACGAATGTCCAAAATCCATTGGTTGACGAGAACATACGATAACGATCTTGCAGTCTTCAGCCATATCCACACATGGTGAGATGTATTCGTTATAGTAAGTTCTGTCGGGGCCTCATATGTGATGTCTTACTGTAATTGCTACACTGGGCGTGCCACATTCATGGCCGTAAAGTCTTGTACAAAAGCCGCGGCTTCTATGACTTTCTTGGTGAAATCTTGCAGGCTTCTATACTAGACAGGTATTTCTATGTATGTCAACACTAAAGCCAGGCTTATGCGTGATTTGATGGACCCAAAACTGCGGCTTCTATTCGAGGGCGGCTTCTATTCAAGTGCGGCTTTTATACAAGACTTTACTGTAGCTAGCAGCACTCTCAGGACAGGGTAAGTATCGATTTTCGCCTGATGATCGATTCAGTTCGTGAAACTCGGAGCAGTGTCAGTGTGCTCCATCACATATCAGGGGTGTCGGAAGGTACTTCAGTGTGGTACGGTCAGCCATTGGAAGTAAAATTCACTTTATTGATGTATGGGGTACCTGGGCCAAAAAGTGGTACGGTCAATACCGTAGTGACCGTACCATGTCCGACGCCCTTGCATATTCTTTTTGGATAATTCACGAGCCACGCTCACCCGCACCCCTGTTTAGCTCGCTGCAATTCCAAGCATTCTAAACCCGCCATGTGATGCAAACCTACTAGTAATCCCTGACAATTGCCGACTTCATGGCAGTAAAGTACTTATGTTATGGCGAAAAGGTACTCATTTCGCCGCAATAAAGTACTGATGCCATGGCAATAAAGTACTGATGTTGTTGCAGTAAAGTACTGACTTTTTCCTGGCAGTAAAGTATTGATTTCATGGAAATACAGCACTGATTTCATGGCCAAAAAATACTGATTTCATGGCAATAAAGTACTGATGTTATGGCAATAAAGTACCTCCTTATGTGAATATGTTGTAGTGTTGCGACATGACAGCACTGACTCGCGGCGCCCTTTTCCCTTTTCGTTTGTGCTTTGCCCGATTGGGCACCCACTGTAAAGAGCACGATACAACACTTTTCCATACATGTCCGACTCACTTTGCACACTATTTTTCCTATAATCACACAACTCCCGAGGACAGGTAAAGATCAATAAAGAACACCTAACCCACAAGAGAAATTAAGAGCTTGTGTCTGTGACGAGGGTTGTGCCACGGGGCACTAGGATCTCACGAAAACATGTAGAAATAGTTTTAAAAAATTAAAAAAATTCTTCGGCGACCGACAGTACAGTAGAAGATTAAGGGCAAGCATACTTACGGCTGAGGAAACAGTACGGAACGGTTGCGGCGGAACACCAGAATAATGGCAATGGCGAGTGCAAACAGAAGACAGCCGACAAACACCGCTATCAGCCACAGGTAATTGCTGTGTCCTTTGCTGGGGCTGGCACCGGTCGGGTCTGTCACAGATAATCACACAGCAAACGTGCATGCAGAAGATTAAACGTAGAGCAATTGCCGGGCAGCCAGTGGCGGCCACATCAGTTTATCATGTGAATAAAGTTATGCAGAAAGTGATCATGGCATGTGGACAGTGGAACCAACATGGCCACCGACGTCATGTGACCCATAGAAACCACTCTATGCACACGCACACACACCAAAATAGTCTATACACCAGGGGCGTAGCACCCGCTACGACTGGTACGACCATGGCCGTACCACTTTTCGAAAAGTGTGGTCCGTCCGGAACGTGCAAAACCGTAATAAAAAAATCAGGATCCATCGATGCATATGCGCATCAGACTTTGACCTTTTTCTAGACTCGTACTCGTAGATCTGCCATGCATCTGTGCATGTCCATGCACGTCTCTTCTGCCCGTGAAATAATTCTATGACTTATAAACTGTGCCAGAAGTGTGCCAGAAGTTCCCAGAACGCAGGATTTTGTGTCTTTTTTACAAAATTTTCCCGCGGGAGGTCCCCGGACCCCCCTCCAAAACGGCCTTTGGCCGTGCCGACCTTTGGTCGTATCACTTCCAAAACCCCTCTTACGCCCCTGATACACGGTGAAAAGGGGAACCCCTGGTTTGAGTACAGGCCTGACGTGAATAGAATCCTAACCATCGACGTCGGCTGATGTGAATAGAATCCAAACTCCCGACATCGGCTTCTACAGGAAGAAGTCTGGGTTTAATACACGACATTACGGTATGCCAACACCCATTAAGTTACCGTGTTCACGCACTTAGGGCCCTTTGCAGACTACGTACATAGAACATCCAGTACAAAAATCACATAAAACCTAAAAGGCAACATTTTTCCACGCCTGCATTCATACACATTTTACATGCAATATACAGGCAAACTTTGACCGTACACAATTGCACAAGGGGCCTGGGATGTGTGAAAGCAGCCGGCAGTCGTACAAAGTTTGTACATTTGTACGATGGTTGGTGAAAGTACGATAAATGCAGGAAAGTTGCCTTGTACAAGGGTTCGCACCCTGCCCGAAAGGATTTGGCAGCTTTTTAGGCTTCCCGCCAGATTCTTGTTGTTGCCTTAGAAACTTTTATGTAAATGTGACTTAGGCCGCAACCACACTACGTAAAAATCACAGTACAAATTTTCATGCATATCTCAGTACAAGTCGGTACGCAACCACACTACACTTTTTGGTCTGCATAGATGACGTTTTCACGCGACCAGCACGTGACGTTGTCGTACCAAAGCGTGTGCCATGCGCTGGAAAAGACCGGGAAAATTCAAAAACAATGCTGATGCTGATGCTATGTACGATGACCCGGTACAAAAGCAAAGTTGTACACAGCAGAAGGAGCGCGAAAACGACAAACGTGGCTTTCTACAGGGGTGCGCCGGTTGCTGAAAACCTACAAAGCGCATTTTGCATTTCGCACGCGTCGGCATGACAATTTCTACTGTAATGCCGTCCATGCGCTTTCTTTGCCCCCAAACACTGGTGTCTTCTTCTGATCTGTCTTCCTGGTGAAAGTAAAGTGGCACAGTGATACTGGTGGTACCGGAAATGTGAATTCTGTTCAATTACAAGCCCATGCAGAAGATAGGCCCGTGCGCTTATATGCGCGTGAATACGGTAAGTTGCCAAGAAACCCCGGCGTGGCTACAGTCCCGGACAAGACGGTACTCCAGAGCGGCCTATAATGTGTAAAATACGTTATAATGGCATTTTTTTCAGAAAAAAAGAAAGGACCAAGGAACTACAAGTTACGTTAAAACGTCCACTAACACCACTGACATCATGTGGTCATTTTTCTTTTCTATATTCAAATTTATCCTTGGATCTCCATCCGAGTCCATTCTTGCACACCTGATGGCATTGTTTCATTGTACTTCACTCAACTCGTCCATTGACCAATTGGCCCACAACGTGCAAGAGAGAGAGCGAGAGATAGATAGATAGATAGATAGAGAGAGAGAGAGAGAGAGAGAGAGAGAGAGAGAGAGAGAGAGAGAGAGAGAAAAAGCGGTGATAACTTAGCCAACCATTGCATTGACTCGATCAGCATGAAGACAATGCATTAAAACTATCACTAGCACTCACCGCCTTTGTTGAACAGAAGGAAGCTGGCTCTTGTCGTGCTGTTAGGCAGACCAGTCGTCGGCAAGCTGTCGTTGTATCTCCTGTCAATGGAACCTGCCGTGTGGTCAGATCCCCGGTCGGTTCCATTCTCCTGGGATGTAGTGGGTGGAGAAGTTGCTTGCGTGATGGATGGCTCAATCCGGCGCTGCATTGTTGAATCGCTTGGGTTGGGAGTTTGGGTGTCGTTCGATGTGGCGGCTGGAGTACTGTTTGGAATCGTTTGCGGTGTGGTGGCTGGAGTAGTTGTTGCTGGGGTGGTTTGAGTGCTTGGAGCTTCGGTTGTTGCTGGGGTGGTTGTTGCTGGGGTGGTTGTTGCTGGGGTGGTTGTTGCTGGGGCGGTGGTTGCTGGGGTGGTGGTTGCTGGGGTGGTGGTTGCTGGGGTGGTGGTTGCTGGGGTTGTTGTTGCTGGGGTGGTTGTTGCTGGGGCGGTGGTTGCTGGGGTGGTGGTTGCTGGGGTGGTGGTTGCTGGAGTGGTGGTTGCTGGGGTGGTGGTTGCTGGGGTGGTGGTTGCTGGGGTGGTTGTTGCTGGGGTGGTGGTTGCTGGGGTTGTTGTTGCTGGGGTGGTGGTTGCTGGGGTGGTGGTTGCTGGGGTGGTGGTTGCTGGGGTTGTTGTTGCTGGGGTGGTGGTTGCTGGGGTGGTTGTTGCTGGGGTGGTGGTTGCTGGGGTGGTGGTTGCTGGGGTGGTGGTTGCAGGGGTGGTTGTTGCTGGGGTGGTGGTTGCTGGGGTGGTGGTTGCTGGGGTTGTGGTTGGAGTAGTTGTTGGTGTGGTGGTTGGAGCAGTCGTTGGTGGGGTGGTGGGAGTAGTTGTTGGAGGAACCACTACATGAAAATGCAGAAAATAAAAACAAATTAAACACGAGCGTTAGTAGGAAACACAAGAAATAAACAGATTGCACCTAGAGGCAGTGCCAATGATTTATCAGCGCATTTTCTAATGGGCGTTAACCCTTTAAGAGCCACAGGAAAATTTCAAAATTCTGCATTTTTTCGTGTTCCTTGGATCATAGCTTCAGTTCTACTCACTCAATCCTCACTATCTAGAGCTTTCTGGAACAGTCTCCGCGAGAGGAAGAGAATGAGGTCGATCATGATAGCCAGCACACCGTCTATCCAGCGCTAGATCGCTGCAACAGTACGAAAAATGCCCGGAATGCGTCCAATTGCGTCCCGCTCCAGGTATTTCATTTTAGTCGATCGTGGAGTTCCAATTTTTCGCTGTGTACTCTTGACAATATCAACAGTGAAACCCCTGCAAATTCGAGTAAACCAGCATGACGAAAAGTCTCAAAACTCTCAATACTAAAGTCGCACTGCGCGCTTTTGAAATTGCCGCGATCGCAGGGACTTACGAGTGGTTTATCTCATGAACCGTTGCTCGCAGCGCGTCACGGATTGAGCGAGATTGGACCGAGTTACGATCTTTTGAAGTTTTGCATTTGAATGCGTCGTTTACGACGCATTCAAGTATGGGCGGCTCTTAAAGGGTTAAGTACACAGTGTGATTCAGCGGATTTTGGAATAGGCGCTAAGTATGCGGCATGAGTCGCTAGTGCACTTGCAGCTCCGTGCCGCGAGACCGCGGCTTCGCCGCAGCATCTGAACTTTAAGGTCACCTCACACGGTTATGACCCAATCCGACAACAAGGGACACACTAATAAACGGCGCAGAAGAAAGTTGCCCGTCTTTGTTGTTTTAGCTATTTTTCTTTGTCCTATTTCATCATCTGTCTACTGTACTAAATCCATTGTCATGGTTCCGTGTCTGTTTCCTGTTTTCACTTGATAAGAAGTATTGACAGAACACTGTACTCGTGCGATTAGTACCGCTTGTGTACTATTTTGTCAATGTCCATCACAGATGAGGCACTATTGAAGAGAGGGCATAACGCTGGTTTATTTATGTCATCCCTCATAAAACAAAGAAGGCAAAGAAAAACAGAGCCTAAAGTTTACAGTAAACTATCACGATTCAACAGAAAGGGCAACAAGAACTGCGATTTTGATCCTAAGACCACCAGTTCAATGACTTGGACAAGAACATTAGCAAAAGAACACGAAACTTGCACATGCGCTTGGTTACAAACCGGGGGGGGGGGGGGGGGGGGACAATTCAAGAGTCGGCTGTATTAGTTCACTCGCTCCTAGACACTGGGGCTCTATTCGAGATAAAGGGCACGTTTCAAGAGAGGGCTCTAATCCACCGTCCATGGCCCTTCATTTGTATCTGTGTGTGTGTGTGTGTGTGTGTGTGTGTGTGTGTGTGTGTGTGTGTGTGTGTGTGTGTGTGTGTGTGTGTGTGTGTGTGTGTGTGTATGTGTGTATGTGTGTGTGTGAATATCTAAAAATTGGTAGGACCACGTACTGTACTTGCCTTTTTTCAGTAAATATGAACACACAGTTGTACTTACCGGCATCGCAGAAAGGTACGGAAGTGAGCGTTCCATCTGCTTGGCAAGTTGCCGTCGACTTCCCCACTAGCGGGTGGCCGCTGTTGCAGGAATAACTAACATCTTGCGTAACTCGGACCGACTTCTTGTCGGCTTTTCCATCAGCAATAGCGGGTACATCGCAGTACAAACCTGTACGCAAGAAAGGAAAATATGATTTGTTTAAGAAAAAAGATATAGATCTTTGATAAATACCCACACTCCTTAGTGACCACACCATTACCACCCTCGCACAGAATTTGAACTCAAATTCAAGAGCGTCCGTGTTATCTCTCTCTCTTTTTGGCGTATCATCCCTCACACCGTTGCAAAGCTTGTTCTAGCTGCTTTCCAACTAGCCCTCGCTCAAAGAACAATGGAGTTACGACAATCTGCGCTTCACAAGCTGAAATTTGAAAATGTATAATACTCGTCTTTAGAAATGCAGCTATACATTGAAAAACGGATTTACTCGTCTTTTGATCATCTAAGCCGCTGTCCTTACCTTTAACACAGATGATGACCAGCGGATTGCTATAATATTGGTTACCAACTCCTTGAATCCAAACATTATTTACATGCGATATGGCCAGTATGCGCAGGAATGAACCAAGACATTCGTCTGCCCTCGACTTTGGAAGGGACATCTGTGTGTCTTCACATCGTTTCTTGGCATCATCACGGGATTTAGATCTTGCATTCACGACATGGTAAAAGTCATAATTACGACACCTGTGCACCATTGCTCGTCCTGTATGAATACAGAAATGAAGCCAGGTATACACACATACATACTGTCAGAAAAAGTCAGAGCATTAGAACACTTGCCCTGCATCTATACAACACTTAAACCTGTGATCACTCTGCGCTGGGCCCTCGGGTTTTTTTTATATCTATGTTTCGCGTCGTTCGGGCGCACATGTTTCCAGATCAGGCCAGGATCGATACCCTGATTTTGCGCAGGGCGCAATATTGTGGAAACGGGACATCTTCTCAATCCAACAAAGAAACAAACTCGTCCTGAGCTGCTAAAATTTTACCTTGCCAAGGCAGAAAGCACAGTGCTGTATGATTGTGAATTGGACCCCATACAAACATGTTTCCACTCAAAATGGCGCTGGGTTGGAGGCAGCGAACATGATCGCTTCAGCCCCACCGGCACTATGACAGCCGATGCCGGTAAGAAAACAACTGGCCTGTCATAATAATTATAAACTCATCTATGGCTCCTTAAATCAGAAATCAGAGAAACCAGAAATCAGTATCAGCAGCTACTACACCTAGCTGATGATGCTCACAAGACAGAAGCGGAAGAAAACACTGAATTTCTTTATTAAGTGCTCTACTACGCGAAATGTGCTATTATTATTATTATGGCTCCTTAAACTCTTTAGCAGGACGCTACCAGAACGCGCCGCACTGGAACACCTCTAAAAGTCGCATTTTCCCATGAAAGTGCTAGCTGTTCAAGGATCGATATCTTTACTTTCCCTTGGACGAATTCCACCATCTTGAGCCTCCTGGAAAAGTCCTGAGATGAGAAGAAAATGGTGTCAAACCCAGCTTGGAGAGAAACCAAAACCCCGTACTACAGTCTGGCAAATTTCATCCACGCACTCGACAGGCTTGAGCCTGGCCAGGACATAAAGAGCTCAAATCTTCAGCTGCCTTTTCCTTGCTTGGACAAATTGCATGATAGTGAATGAAAAACGTAAACTATTTGCCACCTATGTAATCAGGGAATGGCCCACGCCTGGTAAAAAATCAATGAGCAGCTAAATACATTTCCTTGCTCGTATCGAGTTCTGCGAGGACTCCCATTACAATCCATGACGACAAGAGTCCATAAACAAGAGCATGCAACTGTGATCTCTTTTCTATGGGCCAGATGCGCGGCGCGCTGCCTTCATAACATCATTGAGCTGCAGTCCGCGCACTGCGTAAAATCAAACAACGTGCTTTCCCTCTGGTTTGAAATAGAACTGGAGTTCACGCGCCAAAATTCAGAGATTGCGTAGGTACTGGAATGAATGGAGCAAAAACGGATGGGTTCGTACTAGAAATTGTGGGTTTCCGTGCATGCTTTCAGAGCGTGAAGGAGGTGAGTTACGTAATGAAGGCAGCACGCTGCGCACTGGCCTATAACCACAGTTGCATACTCTTGTTTATGCAGTCTTGAATCTGATTTCAATGGCAGTGGGTCACGCAAAATGACCCAAAATGGAAACTGCGCACAAAAATCGAATTGAAATATTTCAGTATAATCATGTCAACAACCGGTTGTCGTATCGCTTATTATTATGATTCTTTATACCCAGCTCATATTAACCCCCACTTATTCCTGTGATCTATACCTAGTGAATATATCTCCATATTCACCACTTTAACTTGGGGTATATACTTTGCTATATTACCCACTTAGCGGTTGTAACTTTTCAACTTTCAAGGGACTTGGAAATTTTCTCTCCAATTGAAAAAGAAAAAATTGAAGAGAAGAAAGAAGTCTCAGCAGGAATCGAACCTGCAACCATAAGATTCCCAAGCACCTATATTGACCACCCAGCCACCAGGGTGTTGATGCAGATCTTGGTTGAAAGATAGGTCTTAGCTCTGGAACACGCAATGCTACCTACACATAATAGTATACTATAGTATACTGGGATACTAAAATAGCTATTTCGGACCAGTATTTCAGGCCAAAACGAAGCTAGGTATAAATAGAATAAACACCTCTGTCTTGTGTTTATGGGAATATAAACACTGTCTATAAAAACCTCGGCTACGCCTCGGTTTTATAGCAGTGTTTATATTTCCATAAACACTACGACATCGGTGTTTATTCTATACATAAACACAAGACAGAGTTGTTTATTCTATTTTATTCTATACTTATTCCACTCCAAATTGAAAATAAAAATAAAAATTGGAGGTATTACACTAGCTCACCGGACTTATCATAGCCAAAGGTAAGCAGCACGGAATAATATATGGAAAAGGTAAGGTAGAGAGAGAGGAAGGGAGAAAGGCGCATGTACCATCACAGGCATTAAAGCCCAAAGGTATCATGACAACAGGTATTGCAGAAAGGGGAACATCAGAAGTTGGCGAAAAATTAGAATGGCCATCGAGCCAAGGATAGCAGCCTGTTGCAGCTCGTGAAGGTGCCGCTCTTCTCCACATAGCTGCTTAATTGAGGTAGCCGCTTCTTTTGTCAGGCCACCAAGAGCACCAAATATGATGGGCACTACGGAAACTGCCTCTCGCTGCCAAATCTGCCCAATTTACACTGCAAGGGGCAAGTACTTCGCTCTCTTTCCAACATGTTTTAGTGCTACTCTATGATCCAGTGGCACACTGACATCAATAAGTTGGACTGACTTGCCATCGTCCCACACAAGATCCGGCCGATTTGCTCCAACCATCCTATCTGTAGGGATTCGCATTTCCCACATTAACTTACGGCCTTCACTATCCTCGACGTAGTGTGGCAAGTGGCCAGGGGGAGCAGGAGATACCAGTTTGTAGCGATGACAGAGTGCCCGGTGGACTATAGCAGCAAGACGATTATGGCGAGCCGTCCGTGCCAACATGGGGCAGTATGAGAAAATATGGTCAACAGTCTTCCCGGACCTCCGCACTAACAGCACACGTCCACCACGGAAGTGTCGCCAATAACCGATCTCTGGTAGTTCCTGTTATTAACCAACTGATCCTGAGCAGCAAATACGGATGACTCAGTGGATGGACGCAATGTTGGAGACTTTTAGAAGTTGAACGAGAGAGGCATGTCCAATACACCGCCACTCCTCTGCCAATAGCGACCCTCAGGGGCTTCTGCCGCAGAGAACCTTGGGTGGTGGTTCTAATAGCAGACTTAACAATGTCAGTTGTTGCACCTCCGATGTCCAGGATGTTGAAGTGCTCCATTGCCGTGGCCGCCCGGGAGATGATCGATTTTGTTGGCGGAAGATTTTCATGATGAACATGCAGCGCAGCAATCAGCGGCAGGTCAGAGTGCGCCTGGAGATACCTAGACAGGCGGATGTATTTCCTCTCCAGCAGGTGCTCAACCGATACAATCCCTCGGCCGCCCTCAGATCTCGGCAGGTGAAAGCGGATGGTGGAAGATCGAGGGTGGTATGCTCCCACTACACGGAGATATTATTATGAGTCTTTATTCCACTCCAAATTGAAAATAAAAATAAAAATTGGAGGTATTACACTAACTCACCGGACTTATCATAGCCAAAGGTAAGCAGCACGGAATAATATACGGAAAAAAGTAAGGTAGAGAGAGAGGAAGGGAGAAAGGCGCATGTACCATCACAGGCATTAAAGCTCACAGGTATCATGGCAACAGGTACTGCAGAAAGGGGAGCATCAGAAGTTGGCGAAAAATTCAGGCCGGCAAAGCTGGGCACAACCTCCAATGCGCACCCGCAGAAAGATCAAATACGAATACCCACAGAAATACTACAGTGTTTCAATTACAAACTAAAACGAATACAATAACATACAGAGCATAAAAAGCCCACCAGGGACAGCGAAGAGCCCTATGCTGCACCCAAAACAGATCTTCGAATGGCCATCGAGCCAAGGATAGCAGCCTGCTGCAGTTCATGAAGGTGCCGCTCTTCTCCACATAGCTGCTTAATTGAGGTAGCCGCTTCCTTCGTCAGGCCACCAAGAGCACCAACTATGATGGGCACTACGGACACTGCCTCTCGCTGCCAAATCTGCCCAATTTACACTGCGAGGGGCAAGTACTTCGCTCTCTTTTCAGCATGTTTTAGTGTTACTCTATGATCCAGTGGCACACTGACATCAATAAGTTGGACTGACTTGCCATCGTCCCACACAAGATCCGGCCGATTTGCTTCAACCATCCTATCTGTAGGGATTGGCATTTCCCACATTAACTTACGGCCTTCACTATCCTCGACGTAGTGTGGCAAGTGGCCAGGGGGAGCAGGAGATACCAGTCTGTAGCGATGACAGAGTGCCCGGTGGACTATAGCGGCAAGACTATTATTATTATTATTATCAGACTTTTCCCGTTTGTCTCTTTCCCTCAAAACCAGTTAATATTATCATTATTATTATTATTATCTGAAAATCGGGTATCGAGCCAATAATAAAAGTAGAAAGGAAAAGGACATATGGAAACGAGTTAAGAGTAACTCTCCACCACTGTAACTAGATACTATATACAGTCAGAACGTGCAACAACTAGGCACAAAACTGACAGAGTACTGAGACATTCGACGTCCTGACACCTAGCTTCAACACATCTCCGTAGCGCTAACCGACAGCCTTCCAACTTGGAAGGTTCAAGGTTATGGAAAGACCAAAGAGGGGAAGACAAGCGCAACGAAAACGAGCACAAGCTACAGTCCCAACGGAACAAAGAATGTCGATTGTCACTTCCAAGAGTGACTTGGTCATGGCCACGGGAGCCAATGGTGGACTTGCCGCGTGGGACGCTAGGTCCTGTGTTGGCAGAGGTAGTGGTTGTTTACGGGGTCTTCACCGCGTGGGACACTCCAGTTGTGCGCTACGTGGGATAATGTGTAAAGGAGTGTGTTGCTTGATGCGTTCGCTCAGGTGCTGAACAGTCTGACCAACATACCGGCTAGCACAATTCCGGCATTCAAAGTTGTATCATTTTCATAGGTGTTGTTTCTTCTCACTCCATTTCTCTTTTGTGCCATGGTCATTTGTGCTGAGGACTCCTGGTCTAGTCTGCATATGTGACCGAGTAGTCGCATCCGAGCAGCTTTTATCAGGACAGTTAGTGGCTGTGTCTCTGTTCTGCGGCGAAGATCATCGTGGCTCATTATCTTTGGGTAGTGGATACCCACAACGACTCTCGGGTGTCTCCGATATGTCGAGTCAAGAGTACATAGCTGAGAGTCTGAGAGGCCCCATGTGCCAGCATTGTACACGCTTTGGGGTTGTTTCTATACAAAGCTCGGAGTTTTCCCTTGCAGATACATGGTTCGATTGTGAGAATCAAACATGGATTGACTGAGGTATGATAATTTGAACGAGCCACTAGGGACTCAATACGGACCCATAACTATGAGATGCAGGTTCATTGTACAGCATCGTGCTAGTACGACGGGCGTGGGACACGCAACTCGTTTGCGTCGTACTAGTGCGACGCTCACGCTAAAGAGGCTAAGAGAGCATGTCTGAGAAAACCAGAACATATGTGCAAGTCCATCTCTCAGATTTCGCTCAAATTTTGCAGGTAGGTTTGCTTTCGGGTGTAGGTCGACATTCCAAAGCACGCGCAAAATCTTTTGAAGGGAACCATGCAATTGGTATACCCCTCAATATTGGCCCAATATTGGCACAATTTATGGGTCTACAAACGAGCCACGGCACAGTGTACAAGAACAAGCTACGAACAAAACTCCATCAAGCAAACATTACCTCACCTTAGAAGAATTCTTGGGGCAGCACCACTTAAAGCTACACGCAAAAATTCAGTCATCTTTGCCTGAACTGTTGCACCGAAAAATGTTGCTGGCGCAAGGAGAAGCTTGTCGTTTGGAGTGATAAGTGATCACCGCTGCTTTTCCTTGTCAGAGTCAACACTACACTTTGTTCTGCAGTGTTGGGAGTGGTGTTGGAGTAGAAATTGCTGACTAGATGTCGCGGAGGGGCGAGCTTTCCTGCGCAGGTATGAGTTTGGACGTATTTCAGAATGGTCGAGTGGAAAAATTCAAAATTGTTTATTTCAAGAAAACCCAAAAAGGATGATGGGGGACATGTCCTCAGTGCTAGAAGAGGTGTTCTACTATCTGCCGGTGTATAGTGTTTGCTAATTGAGGACGTAGCTCGCTGTTTTATCAGCGCTTGTAATTTGGCTATTTTCAAGACGATCATTTGCGGCGTCAAGGGATGATCGCCCTCGTCTTCTGGAATGCTGGCGTGGCTAAGTGATGCTGCCCCAAAAACTCTTCTAAGGTGAGGTAATGTTGGCCTGGTGGAGCTTTGTTCGTAGCTTGTTCTTGTGCGCTGTGCTGTGGCTCGTTTGTAGACCCATAAATCGTGCCAATATTGGGCCAATATTGAGGGGTATGCCAATTTCATGGTTCCCTTCTAAATATTTTGCGCGGGCTTTGGAATGTCGATCTACACCCCAAAGCAAACCTACCTGCAAAATTTGAGCGAAATCTGAGAGATCGACTTGCACATATGTTCTGGTTTTCTCAGACATGCTCTCTTAAGTGCTAAGAACCCGGGTCTACCTCAGCAATTAAACCAGTCATTGTTCTTACGTTTTACACAGATGACGGAAACAGGTTCATCAGCCAGTGCTGCTTTCTTCTGTAAACCAAGGTCACCCACTGTATGACCGTAAGTTTGAATGTTAGTGGTCCATCTGCCAGAGATCCAAGCTGGTCTTATTCCACGTTCTGTGATAAACCGGAAAAGGCAGTCCTGCAAATCTTCCTCTGGCAGGGCCATGAGTTTCTCGGAACATTGTGCTTGAGACGAATACTGAGTGTAGTCAGTAGAGCTTGGCTTGAGAAGGTACAGGTCGTAATAATCACCACATTCATACTTCACATCATTCCAAGTGCGCTCTGCACAGAGATGAACACAGTGAATTGACACATTCCACCAAAAAGAATGTGTTACAACAAGGTCAAGGGTCATGAACTCGGATGTTGAGCCAAAGATAACACGGATAAAAAGAAAGGACAACATGTTACGAGTTATGACTAACTGTCCACCAAAGCGTCGAATGTCTCAGTACTCCTTGTCAGTTCGTGCCTTTTTGTCGCACTCGTTGCCTGTATATGATCGAGTTACGTTGGTGAACAGTTAATCATAATTCGTAACATTTTACCTTTTTTGCCTGAAGTGTGTCCTTTTTATGAGTATTGTCGAATTTTGTCCTTTATGTATATTAGTGCTGATGTCCAGTCAGAAATTTCCAGTTTGTAGCCTAACCGGCACATGCAGTTGCTTCTGACGAGGGAGGGGTGAATTCCCCAAAACACTGAGCAGGGAGTGGTGATTTCTTGCAGGTTTGCGCAGTGGACGGTTCGACGGACTTCTCGTGTGAGTCAGTCAAGTGAGAGTTCAAGTCGGCAGGATTAGTGCAAGCACACACAACTCCCCTACAGTCCATTTCAAAACTATAGACGCGTAGTGTTTTGCAAAATTCGATGGGAATCATTTAAATATTTTCAGTTTTTTCTCCAGATTCCGTCTCTGCATTGCTTCACAATTCTGGCTATATACTTTGTTTTCGCTACAATTGAAGTATATTTTTAGGACAGGTTTTCCGGTTTTACATGTAATATCTGTTTTGAAGGGTTTGACCAGCTTGTTTTAAGGGTTTGACCAGTTTGTTTCGGATTTTTGCTCCTGCTGAGACAGTGCTGCGCCCAGACAATCGCGGGTGCATTTTTGTACGTGTCCTGGTAGCCTCGTGGTTTCGATCCGTGATTTCCAGTACAAGTGTGGGGCATTCGAATCTAATCACGCCTCCTGCCTTTTTTCTCTCTTCTTTTCTGGATGTTTTGGATCTTGTTGGGTGAAATACAATAGAGATGATAATTATATTTTCTCTTTTTGATTTGATTTGAGCTTCCCTGTTCCCTTCGCCTGACACAACGAGTGACAGTGGTTTCACTCACGCCAGTTTCAAGTTGAGTTTGACGACGAGGATTTCGGATACTCAAGCGTCAATCAAAATTCAGCTCTTGTTCGAAGAAACAATGAACACGACTAATCATATCTTTCTCGGCATCACTGAGATTCTTACGGGCGGAAGCCATTACAGTCGGGCACTCAGAAAATGCAAACAAGAAGAAGATTCATTTGAGGCTTACATTTCTTTTGAGCCTTTCCTCACACCTTTTCATTTGCGACTTTGTGCGTTTTTTGCATTTTTGTATTTCCCGCGGCGACGAAGAAAAACCTGAAAACACATCTGAAAACCAGAAAACACTCATGCAAAACTCACGGCTGTCGTGCGCTACAGCACGTGCGGCTCGTACGTATGAGTTCACGCGTCTATAGTTTTGAAATGGACTGTAGTATTGCCTAAATCTATACAGCAGTTTGAATTTTGTTTGGTGCCTGGAATACATCAATTTACCTTCCTAGGTACTTCACATTGATTCATTATCGAATATCTAATGGTTTGTGTATGAACCACATAGCTGGCTGTACGTCTTGAGGAAATGAAGAAAACTTATGGGGCCAATTTCGAGAAGCACCCCGCGTGTACCGATATCCAAACCAAATGAGATTTCTATTTGAAAGGATTGGGAGAACTTCAAATTCACAGGATCAATCGGGGAAGTGAACCGCCTGAAAAGAGAAAAAAACGCCAAACCCACCAGAACTCGAACCCGGGACCTTGATTGTCATGAGCAATGCTCTAACCACTGAGCTATGGGACCAGGCAAGTGTTTCACTCCAAAGGCGGCTCAAAACACGTGCCACACATACTGGTGGCATTTGGGTCTTTTCCCTCCCCCAGGGGACCAACCACGGTCAGTTTCTGGAAAAAAGAAAGTGATTAATTTTTGAAAGTATTGGGAGAACTTCAAATTTAAAGGATCAGTCGGTTAAGTGAACCGGAGTGAAAAACTACAGAAAGAGTAAAAGAAACAAATTGGTTGTGCCCTGCAAGGCTTCTTTTTTTTCTACGCTTTCTTGGTACAGAAGCCAGCATCTGTCACACAGTAGGACACCAGGTCGACATTTTACACAGGAGCAACCGTCCTGAATCCACAAGGGAGTCATGCATTGGGTTGTACCCTTGTCCGCAAATAACGTTACTTGATCGAGCTTCGAGACTCGGCACTTGTGCTTCACTAGCTGCACCTGCGGCAACAGCAGCAGCAGCAGCAGTCTGCGATTGTTCCAAGCAGTTCATACTCGCAGGATTCAACTACAAACTATCCCGGCCGACATCTCAATCGAAACAAGAGCAAGAAATAATGCCAAAAAGCCACTCACGTCACTCTTCTTTGATGTAGCTTTGATGTTTGTTTGTTTATTTTACTTCACCAAGTGAACAGGCATTTCTGCCTTCTCACCAGGTCCGGAGACCTAGTTCCAACAAAATGATGAAGAGTAAAATGAAAATGTGTGTATAAAATGATTAAAATCATGCAGACGTCATAATTATATTTATCTCAATTCAGCTTTTGAAAAAAAAGATGTGTAAGATGATTAAGGATGAAAAATCGAGCTTGGGTCGTGCTGAGGTCGTATAATATATAATAATTATGACAGAAAGAACACACGAAGAAAGGGAGAAAATGAGTGAAAGTGAGGGGGAGAGAGAGAGAGAGACAATGAGAAAGAGAGAGATAGATAGATAGAGGGAGAGAGAGAGAGAGAGAGAGAGAGAGAGAGAGAGAGAGAGAGAGAGAGAGAGAGAGAGAGAGAGAGAGAGAGAGAGAGAGAGAGAGAGAGAGAGAGAGAGAGAGAGAGAGAGAGAGAGAGAGAGAGAGAGAGAGAGGGAAAGATAGGTAGATAGATAGAGGGAGAGAGAGAGAGTCAGATAGATAGAGTGAGTGAGTTAGTGTGTGAGTGTGAGTGAGTGAGTGTGAGAGAGAGAGAGAGAGAGAGAGAGAGGGAGAGAGAGGAGGGAGAGTGTGGGAGAGGGGGAGTGTGTGAGAGAGAGAGAGGGGGGGGGGGGAGGGGAGAGAGAGAGAGAGGAAGAGAGAGAGAGATTGAGAGAGAAATCGATCTGTATGTCTTGTTAGTCTGTTGTTTTGTCATTTCCTGCTTCTTTCTTCTTTTACGAATTGGGTGCGTGGTTTCAAGTAAAAAAAAATGTGAGAGTAGCTGATCGAGTTATTGCTCAGATGCAATCGCCTCTAGATCAAGTACACGAGCGAGTGCCTGGAAAGAGCATTCCACCGGACACTTGCCGCGAACCGGATGGAACCTCTCCCGAATGGACCGCGGAGAAAAGGCACACGTAGCAGATTGGACTGCTGCCCTCGAGTTGCCCGGATGTTGCTGGGGACGCCAACTGGAGAGATGTTCTTACTTTGCTGCCTCAGCCTGCCTGTGCACCAACATGGCCGCCCACCCTGCGATTACATCAGGACATTCGGGGTCTGCGCTGTTTTGGCGGCATGTGCAACCATTCGACCAGGCGGTAAATACGCGCCTGCCCACACATGCTCTCTAGGCTGCAGCGGTTTGGCATGGAGACTAGGCGCCAAGCGCAAACCGATGGGAGCGTGTATGGGCAGGCGTGTACTTACGTATTTACAACCACAGCAATAGATCATAATTACAGCTGCAGTGGTGTCAACAAATTCATTCTCCCTGGAGCATATGGACTAATGAAAAACCAGAACCCCGCAGCAATCAATCATAATTACAGCTGCAGTGGTGTCGACAACTTCATTCTCCCGGGAGCATAAGGACTAACAAAAACCCAGAACCCCGCAGCAATCAATCATAATTACAGCTGCAGTGGTGTCGACAACTTCATTCTCCCCGGAGCATAAGGACTAACAAAAACCCAGAACCCTGCAGCACTGTCTGAACAGGTCATTATTCTTACCTTTAGCACAGATTATGGAATATTCTTTGCCAGTTAGGCCTGGAATGTTTTCATGATCACTAGCTCTTGCCAAACCATGTTCATCGCGATGGATCCAAGCCGGAGATATGCCAAGTTTCTTGACAAAGAACGAAAGACACTCCTTGGTCTCAAGCAAAGGAAGTTTCATTTTTTGTACTCTACATAGATAGTCGGCAGCATCGTAGGTGCTCCGGGTTCCGTTTATAATGTAGTAAAGATCATAGTTTTGACATTCGTGCTTCACAGTACCTGACAGGGGAGACCAGGGGCGCTCTGTGTGGACAAATATAAACAGCAGCAGGAAAGCCAATCCACACACGAAACAGACCATACTGAAAAAAGCTCTCTGAAGGCTTATCAAATTATTACAGTCGTGGTTAACTGAAGCATAACTCGTTCCCATGTGTTTCACTTCTTCATTTTTTATTGAAAATATGACTTCAATTCACGCAGCTTCGTTACAGCAACTTGTATTGTGGCAACACTGGGCAACACTCAGATGCACTGCTTCTTCACGTAGCTGAACAAATCTTCACGCAGCTGAACAATTCTTCACGCAGCTGAACAATTCTTCTATATGTTATAAAGTAAAATACACAGTCGCAGCAAAACTGACTGAAGCCATACTGACGTTCAATAGCATGGTGGTCACCTACTTCACGTCTTGAGTGCACAAGGCTGTGATGAACAAATGAGTTTATTTTAATTATTATTCTCCATCCAGGTTGAAACGACAACAAAGAATGAGCAACCAAAACGGAAGCAGGGTTCTAGATGGCTGATCAGAGCCTGATCGCAAATATGTACTCACTTTGCAAGCAGATTTTACGCCGGGCCTGCGTTGCAAGATGCGTCTGCAGATCGCTGGCACGGACAGAATCGAGAGGACCTTGGCTCAAGATCCAATACGAGTCGTAAGTTGCTGAGTATCGGGTCAGCGAATCAAGGCAGTAGTGCAAGTAGGGCAGAGGGATGATGGCATTGATCTCATTTGGATGCTCACAGTTATGTATGGCCGCATAATAGTTAGAATAATCCTGCAGGGTCTGCGTGGGATAGAGGAGGAACTTGTCAGCCGTCCAGCAACTTGCCTTCTTTTCAAGTTTGGCTGCAGAGACAAAAAGAAAACGCAGTTTGCTTGAGACTCGGTTAGAACGGGTTTTTCAGCATCCACAGGAACGCCACCACCCTACAGACTGAGCAGTAATAAATGGCATTGGGTAAAGCTGATAGCCAAGAGTACAAATAGGGATGGTTGTGAACGTTTAGAGTTTGCATTTGCAACAGCCGGCAGCTCGTCATTGTGCAATGTTGCTGCACCTTCATGTGCTAGTAATGTTCCCAGCGGACTTGGCACGCGAGCATTCTGTTCTGGCTTCACAGCAGGCACCGAACTGCCGTGCCTTGGCAATGTGGTCCAAATATGCACGTACTGAACGAAAATGTTGAACGATTTTAGGACCTGAACAAGATCCAGGGCTCCCGCACCAGCTAAGCAACTGCCTGTTGCAACATATAATGCTCAAAGTGAATACTCACTTGACGACTTGCACAGGACATGAGCAGCAGTGGATGCGCGAATGTTCTGCGTGTTTGCCTTCATATTGAAACGGATGGGGGCTCTTGAGACTGGGTTCAGCACCCAGATGAAACCATCAGCAATGTTCAAGTTGTTTTCGAGAATGAAATTCTTGATTTCGAGCACTTCATCCATCGTCATCAGTCTTGTGCCTCTGTCCTCACACGCCATACTAGCCCGGTCAACTGTTGTCTGGTGTTGGCTAAAATACCAGTGGTCTCGGCCAACTGTCACCGAGTCTACAATACCCACACAAAATGGAACAGATGAGAACACAAAACATTGTCCAAACATCAAGTGGTGAGTGAGAACCAGATGGGAATTATCCCTTGCGCAACTGCTCTGTCCTCTCCCTCCACAGATATCACTTCCAAAAGAGTATCTAGAAGCTTTGTCCCTCAATTTCCGGACAGGGAGCAGCCGGAAACTATTGCCATCGCTTTCAGCAACATCGATTTCTTTCTTTGCATCCAAAGCCAGGCGATTAGTTTTTTTTCCGGGAAGAGCAAAACCTTGGCTTTTTCATGTTTGAAGATTGTGTCCTCAGACTTCTCCACTAACAAAATGACATTGAAATGGTCAGCACGATGCAATCGCTGACCAACTAGAAAGGCAACACAAAAACAAGACTGAACTTTGCTCGCGATCTCGGTATGATTTGGCAACACAATGTTATATGTTTTAACTTAACACTAATGCAATCGTGGGGCAACACGGCGCCAGCAACCTTAACACAATGAAAACTCACCAATTGCCTGGCAATCCGGCAGATTTCTGTACCTGTATTGGTTATTCAAGTACACAGAATAAAAAGGTTTTAAAAGCGCAGAATTGTGGTATCGCCCGCCTGCACATGGAGGATTGGTGCAGCGTTCAAAACGCGGCCAAAAGCATTTGAATTTCGCCGTCTCCCATTCCAGGTATCGGTTCGGATCATTCCTGTTTTCGACTGTTAGTTGTGCTGTTGGGCAGAAAGAAGAAAAGCAGAACAGGCTCGTACCGCACTAGTCAAAATAGGATTCAAACGCATGAATAGTGTCGCAGACTGTCTATACACAACGGTGTGTAGCGCTAATAGGCCAAGTACAACGTCTAGAAGATTCGTCCAGAGGATTTGTCTAGAGAGGGCTGCGAAAAGCAATCCGCACTGACATCGGTCCCCGTCTCCGCTCCACTCTGCTACATTCTATGATCACCAGGTGGAACTCCCTGCCTACCGAGATCAGGATATCTGACACCCGTGGTGTATTTAGCACGCACATGTAAATGCTAGGCAATAGATTATGTCACGTCGAATCAACGTGAAGTACTCGGCAAACCCTGCAAGAAAGCACCACTCCCTACTGGGTATTGAACAGGGAGTGGTGCTTTCTTGCAGGTTTGCCGAGTCGAAGGTTCGATGGACTTCTCGTGTTCTCTGGATGGCGGTCGTGAGTCAGTCAAGTCAAGTCAGTGGAATAGAGCTCCGTTGGTTTCAGGTAGAAATACAGCAGCTAACAATGTTAGCTGCTGTATTTCTACCTGAAACCATATTAGCTACATGTATATAAGTGTGTGTTTTAGTTCTTACATTTTTATGTGACGGCGTTCCACTGATGACAGTCACAAGAAAACGTTATGGAACTTGACTTTCTTCATTTTTGCTGTTGTTATGAGTGCACAATTTATCTTATTTATTGCCATTTTACGACTATTGTCTCCTCGTCGATTGTTTAAATATATATATTATAATATTATTATGTACTTGAGCCATGTAAGAATATTCTTGCTGATTCTCTACCCAGGAGAATGAAGCACCACTGCAGCTGTACTTAGAGAAGGAGAGCTCTGTGCCAGAACTTTGCAGCCTAGAGAGCGTGTGTGGGCAGGCGTGTGTTTACCGCCATATTGCCAGGTGTGTCTTTACCACCATATTTATCAACCATGATTCTCTACCCCCAATATAAATTCTGGCTTCGTTTTTGTTATTGCTTATTCCCATGTAACCACTGATGAAAATGGGTGAAAAGCTTCTGGTATGAAATTGTGAGTATAGTAAACATTCAATAGGGGAACTTGTGGCCAGGCACACGGGGTACATGGATGCAGCTAATGGGGTCGTTCTCGGCACTTGTGCCAGTGGTTGTGAGACGTATCCACTCACCCCCACCGTAAGGCGCTGCATCTGCCGCTAGGGTTTATCGGGTGTCAGCGGCCGTCGTGAGTTCCCTTCGGGAACGGACACGATAATTTACTTTTTTAATATATGTCATTGAGAACGACCCCTGTCCACTAATGACTTCTATAGTACATGCGTTATCAGTGGACCGGGGTCATTCTCAATGCTAGTGGGTCCTACAAACACAGGTGTGCAACATGATGCATCTAGCTCATGGTGAGGGTGCTAATGTTCTATTTCGAAAATTCAAATCAAACTTTCTTCCGAATACCAAGATAGTGTAGAACATATCATTGCAGGACCCACACGCACTTCTGACCGTGTTTCAAGTCATTATTACTGAATCACGCAACGCACAAGGACAAGGGGTTTCTCGAGCACTTCAAAGATCTCAACAAGTTAGCAGCGACACACACACACACACACACATACATCCATACAACTGAACATGAACACACATACACATTCCAGCAAACACGTGCTTACACGTCCGGGCTCACATACAAACACGGCGAAAAACTTACCATTACAGGTGCGATAGTTCTTGCGCGCAGTGCCGCTGCACACTGGTCCTACTTTGTGATCATCATCCGCACTTGGACAACCATCGTCGTCTATACACCGCCAAAAGTTCCCATTAAGGCAAGGGTCTGTACCATCAATGTTGCTATCCTGCCACACAGTAGCCTGTAGAGCACCACCACACCCTGCAAACAGTAGCCGAAGACGAAGAGGAGTGAAATCAAAAAGAGCAGATAAACAAATGCCGCTTGCATTGCGCAATTACACTATCCCGATGTGACCTTGTCCCGAGAGCCAGTGAGCCTGGTACGGAGTTATGAAAGAAGATTTTTGGGAAATTGAAAGATTGGCGGAACTTCAAAATTCAAAAGATCACTTGTTGAAAGGAAATGCGTGAAAAGAGGACAAGGTGCAAACCCCACCGGGACACCAGGACACCAGGACTCGAACCCGGGATCTAGGTGGTCATGAGCAAATCTCTGACCCTCTTGCTAACAAGTGACACTTGTTTCACCACGTCATCAAGGTCGGGGTCTGCAGCGTGTGATGCTGATCACCATGATGTCAGAAAGTCAAGTCAACATCCGTTGCTTCCAGCTTCCAACTTTCAACTGCCAGTGAGCAGACTGCACTGTGATCACATGCGATTGGCCAAATGAGGGCTAGCCTGCGAATCAAGAGGTCCCTCACGCGAGGGCAAAGCTTGCAATGGGAACATGAGCTCTATAGATTCATTTATAATCTCCGTACATGTGTATGTACTCTCCAATTGGGATCGTGCTGGTGCTGGTGGGTACTGCATTTCTTTCTTCAATTTTCGAGTATACAAAGACCACTTTAGAAATTCTTAATATGAGCTGCAACAAGGGAAGCACGCACAGCATTATTATTTATTCTTGTTTTACTAGGGAATTCCCAACAGGCGGCAACGCCTTCTTACAGGGAACCCTAGGAACATTCTGATGGATGCGCGAAATTCAGCTGGTGACCTAGGCGTACGGCAAGCCGGTGGCAGTGCATTCCACCTATCAGCACCTTAGTAAGAATTTTCACTGAAACCACATCGGGTGTCAGCACGGGGAAGAACAAGGGCAGCAGAAACATAAATCCTTCACATGCAATCCACGCTGTTGTGTGCACCTGAGTTCTTTCTGCTGGTGCTTGCACCACGACGGCTTGTTGCAATCGTGTCAGCAACACGCAAACAATTATCAAACACACGTGCATGCAAACAAACACACACTGGCACAAGCACACCTACACACACGCGCTGACACGCCTACACACACGCACATACACGTATGCACACACATACAACGAGACTCACCTACACTGCACACACACACACATACGCACATACATACACAAAGACTCACCTTGAAAATGATTCCTGACCCCGTCTTCTCTTACTAGAGCGAGTTGGTAACTCTCGCGCCTACGTACATACTCTAAGCAAGATACAGACACACAAAACACACACTGTTCATTCAACCATGGTTTGTGTTCAGGAGAATACTGCCGGGTCCACAACATCTACTGCAGTTGTATTATCTTATTATCATGACAGCGTTTTCTAGTGTTCTGTTATCGCAGAGTATTCTATGTAAGTTTCCAGTGTACAGTCCATTTCAAAAATATAGGTGCATGGTATTTTTGAAATATTTCAAATTTGGCTAAAGCTTTTTGAGAATTTTTTCAGAATGTTGCCCAGGTTCTTCTCGCAATTACTCTTATATAGATTTTTAGGCGATCAGATATTAAACATCCATTTTCGAATTTGTTGTGCACAAAACGACAGAATTGCCACCCATCTTCCTATAAATCCTCAATATGTTGATGCGCAGTGATCAACGACAAGTTGACAAGTTAATTGTTCCCAGCGTTTATTCTTCGCCTCGAAACTGGCTCTCGACTTATCCGTGTGAACTTACTGTAGCAACCAGCAGTGTTCTGCCAGATACCCTTATATGGCTTGGCGGGGATGCTCTCACGCAGTGATGTTCTGTAGCCCTCTAGACACCTTACACGACCGCTCTCCTCAACATAGCGGACGCCTTCATCTCGGCGAATACCGCGGCTGGAGATGGCACCGCCTGGCAGACGTGCTCCTGACATTCACAAATCACAACACCAAAGAACAGGTACAAGTCCTTAACCAAATAAGTAGACATTATGTTTTTTTGGCTGTAGCATACTTTTTCAGCATACACACACGTACACACACAAACCCCACCACTGATGCCACACCTCAACGTACTTGGTCCGGCTCATCGCAATTGTCGCTTATCTCCCACGCACTTTTTGACAGGTAAAACCCAGGCCAATCTCGATATCTAACTTACTTTTGCTTGGGAGGTTGTGATGGCAAGATCAAATGAGGCACCAAAGAAAAAATGAGCGCGACTAGCGCTTTGAATCGCGATGTGTTCAACTTTTTTGGGAAGTGGAAATCTGGCCATTCACTGTCTGTGTTGCCAAAAAATCCAAGCGCAGCGACCCGAAGACCGGAACTGTAGCAGGGGCAACTGACATCCTGGAGAGCGTGACAGGCACGCGTGCACGGCAGAGGAGTATGAGCTTTATGCTGAAGAAGAAAGGTGTTTTCGATGCGATGCGCGCATGCGAGGGAAGTTTTGGTTGTTTCTTTTGTTCCTTCGTGGACCTGGCAGCAGCATTACAAGAGTTGTCGTCAGCGTATCCAGTGGAGCGTATGACAGCTGTCTGGAGAGGCCTGTATGCCTCATTCGAAGGCTTTGTTGAAACACACTGTGGTGACACAGAGGTCACACTGCCCACGGTTCCTTCAACTTCTCAAGCACCGAAGTGACAGACACAACTGTTCCTTTTCCATTGCTGCCATACGACACTCGACAGGCTGACAAAGCAAGAGATACTTCACCAGTCTACACCAGCAGCTAGACACCAGCAATCTAATGTCAGCTCATGTAACGGCGGCAGCTCGAGTGATGGAGAGTTGAATAAACCGTCTGGACCTGTAGGAGTTTGAGTGCAAGAGCGCTCCTTCGCTGATTTATTTCGTGCATTTTGCTTACCTTGCTTCCCTCCTATGACTCGCTTCACCTGATTCCAGGGCTGAATTTTGTTTCTTGTGGCGGAGAGTATTCATGTATCATGCTTCCTCACTATGCCTATTGAAAATTTCACAGAGCGGCAACAAAACTCCTGTTCTTAGTTGCGATAGATAAGCGACAATTGCGATGAGCCGGACCAAGTACAACATGACGTGAACTCAAAAGATCCTTGCCCATCAGGGATGTTATAATACATACATCGCGTTCCAAAAAGAATGAATACTCTTTCCGTATGTCAGCGCCTTTAAAGCCATAGCCTTATGTTGGAAACACCGCTGCTTTCCTAGATATTATAGATTCCAAATGACTCACCCACTGTGCCATGCCATAAAAGTCTACACAGAACTTTCAATCTAAATCTACTTGTTCACCCTTCCTGCTAGGCTGTAAGTTTGTTAGCATAGTACGGTCGTCCCTCTCTAATCCGGCACCTTTTGCAGCGACATTTTCTGCTGGATAAACAAGGGTGCTGGGTTATCAAATCAAGCCCTCCGACCCAGCCCACCTATTAACATACATGTTTGTGTTGTACGTCAAAACGCAGGGATTTTCAATCTAAGTACTTTGTAGAATGCATGTCTATAAAGTGGATAGGATATTCCCAAGTGTATGTCACATGTGAATAATGCTCCCTGATAAGTTAGTTCATGCACGTCATGCACTGACCAAACTGACATAGCTGTGCACGGCCGTACGGTATGCGATGTACAACTGCTCGATTATAAAATCGAACTATGTACAGTTTGAGCGATTTGTTGAAGAAAATTGCTGCTGGAGGCGGAATTCAAGTGCCGGATTAAAGAGTAGGAAATGAACTGAAACAATCCGTTTCGCCAGAAAGTGTGCTGGTTTGCAAGGGTACTGGATAAACAAGTGCCGGATTAGAGAGGGACCACTGTACTTATTCCTTAATTTTTACAAAACATACTTCAAAAGTCATTTCATTTACGAAGCCCATGATGGCTTTATGATCGAATATACCGCTATGGCTTTTAAGGTGCAGACATATGGTACAATGTACAAATTGACATGAAAAAAAGGATATGCATTCTTTGACCTTCACTTACCGACACAAACCGATGAATACTTTGCAAAGTGTCTTTCTTTCCCATGCCTTGTGAACCAGAGGGGGATTTTGTCAAAGGTTGCGGCAAGTTCTCTGCACTCGGGAGTGCCTGTCTTCATTTCACCCAATACCGTATTCCATAGCGCTTCGCTTGGCAGGAAAAACCCAACGTTCTTGCGGCACGCATCCTGGGCTGCATCATATGTTACCTTTTCGAAAGTCTGGGTGTGCAGAAGAACTTTCCAATGTCCGCACAATGTTTCTGACTTGCGAGTAGTCCTTCCTGGAGGACAAGAAAGGTGAGAATACCCACATACAATTACCTGATAGAAAAATGGGTGGGAATTTGCAAATCAGCACTTGAGAAATAGTGCTCCTGCGGATGAGTTCTTTCACCGGAAAGACAGAAAACTAATCGAGAAGAAATGTAGAAATGTAACGTGAAATGTGAATTGTATCAAAGCATAGATAATCAACACTAGTGTTCCGTCATCCACTCAGTCTAGTGTGGTCAGGGCCATGGCTTCAGCACCATGCACTCTACAACATACATGACGTACATCCCATTGGGCAAACAGTGTTGCCTCCCAGGCTGGTTCACAACATTCATTTCTTGTCTTCACCAGAACATTTTTCACTCCTTTCTTTGCCAGATTGTCTGTCCAAAGGAAATCGCTGCGTCCCTTTGCGACTTCTATCACATCCCATATATTAAGCTAGTGAACAGATGTATTGTGACGAGTAACTTACCAAATGCAGTGTAGCTATTATGTCAACATGCAGGCAAGGTGATAGCATGCAGGCAACAACTGAAATGCTACAAGGCTACCATGTAACATGCTCTGTGATGCAATGTATGATGCAATGTGTGATGCAATGTATGATGCAATGTATGATGCAATGTGTGATGCAATGTGTGATGCAATGGATGATGCAATGGATGATGCAATATCTGATGCAATGTATGATGCAATGTATGATGCAATGTATGATGCAATGTATGATATAATGTATGATATAATGTATGATGCAATGTGTGATGCAATGTATGATCCAATGTGTGAGAACTGACCTGCCATACCACAACACCTACACTTCTGTTAGAGGCACTTCAACCTACCCATTGTCCTCGTTCCTCAGTATTGTTAATTTCCCCTCCTCCTCCACTCCTCGTGGTTTTACTGTATTACGGCATGCTTTCTCTGGGTAGACGCCGACACGTTTAAGGTCGGCAGAGCAGCCTGGCCCCACCACCAATTCTCGCACTGATTCGGGAATATATTTCAATATAGTGGGCTTTCGTATAGAGTTGTTTGTATAAAAGGTGTTTCATAGTCAAAGTGGGTCGAGCTACCAATTCCGTACCTTCGTCAGACAGCACTTCAGTATCTTCCAGTAAACAAAGTCACAGTCACCGCTTCCGCTGCATAGCTCACGGGGCATCCCATTGCTTTGTAAGTTGCTAATCCCTACCCCTTTTGTGTATGTGCCTTCTTTTCTTTTTTTCTTTTCTTCCGTGGTTGGTCTCACCCTCTCCTCAATTCAATTGGCTGTCTTGACATGCTACGATGCGCAGAAATAAATAAATAAATAAAATACCACTGGAACTGCTATGCTGAGCATACAGTCCATTTCAAAACTATAGACGCGTACCTAGGCAAAAACCGTTATGCCAGCATCTATACCACATAAATCTGTGATCTCTTTGTGCATAAAAATTTCCAAATCGGGCGTCTGTTATCCAATCGTTTAGAAACTATATGAGAGTAATTGTGGAGCGGATCTGAGCAATATTCCGAAAACTATTCCCAAAAGTTCCAGCCAAATTTGAAATATGAGCCCGGATCAGCGAAAACCATCACTTGTGTTTGATATCAAGTTGATCAAAAAGTGACGTTGAAGTCGAGCGAAAGAAAAGTCGCGGACCTAACAACTACCCATCACCTTTCTGTCTTTCTTGTCACTAGTCTTTATTTCCGCCTGACAAGCCTGTGTTTTTTTTGTCAATTACTAGCTAGCTAGGCAAGTCCCAGGCAAGTGAGGAGACACAGCTGGGAAACCCCACGTACCTGAGCTTGGCTGGCGAATAGGTACGATCGCGGGGCGCGAGCATCGCACACACATTGATCGTCGTTGACGCCAATCACGACACGACATTTTTGGTGATGACTGGAATGGCGATTGCTCATCAAGGGAGTCAGTTGAAAGCCGCGGAGCTCCAGAGGACCACTCTCTCCTGCCGCAAAGCGACTCGGCGAGGCTGCAGACTTCGTGTAGAAGAAAGCAGCGCTGATGAGAATGACGACGACTCGAGTGGATAGTGTTGAGCGATGAACGACTCCTTCACTAGTAAGTTTGTGGGATATCGATATTGACGATGCAGAGCAAAGGCGTCTCGATTCACGACTGGAAGAGCAGCAAAAGCTAGCGCCAGACAATATCTGCTTCGTTGGCTTGGAGGATGAGCAACTTGATACATTTATTTGGTCCATGCAGCAGCTCCCAAAATAATCCCAAAAATATGTTCCTGTAGGGTCAGGTAACCGTTGAATGTATCTGCACCTAGTACGTACCTCATGCTGCTGAGCCTGTGTGCTGAGCAGTCACAGCTACTGTGATTGCACTCCGTGTGTGCAGATTATGTTTTCATGGAAGTGAAGGGTTTGGACAGCATCAGTACAGAGCCTGATGTGGATGCAATATCAGCCCCTGGAACTTGGCCATATGCCATTAGCTGCGCGATAGTCAGTGAAGGCAATGATTTACTTGGACAAGCCAGTGTCTGAGTACACCCCAAGGACTATAAAATTCCTCCTTGTTAGCCGGCTGAGCGATGGCAATGCCTAACAGGATCAGACACATACCAACGCTCATACTTGCATCCTACACAGAAATGCCACTTCCAACATTTGCCATACAGCGATGTGGTGTACCGCATTTTTTGGTCACTTACGGTGCTGCGATTGATCTAAAATTTCTTGAGACTGGTTATCAGTGGTTGTGGATCAATTTGGAGCACAACATATTTTTCGAAAATTTTGCACATGTGAGGGTTTTTGCTTATCCAGGCTCATATTTAAAAACCCTACGCGTCTATAGTTTTGAAATGAACTGTAGATGATTGGTCTGTCACTACCCAATCAGGGGGAGGGGGGAGGGGAGCAAACTTACTGCCGCAAAGCAAAGCCGGTTGTTCGCCGTTGCAGAGCAGGTACCAGTCATAATTCTTTAGCACGTATTTCACCCAATACCGTGCCTGTACGACATGATTAGGGCCACAAGAGCATCTCCGCGGTCCGCTGAACAGGTACATTGTTCGCTGCAGCAATCCACAGAGACAATATTCAAGCAGATGATTAGAGCCAGCAGTTGCAGGGCGAACACAATAAGCTATGTTTGAGCAATCCACAGAGACAAGATTCAACCCAGCAGTCATGGAGACCTGTGCTTATAATAGAGGATATACGGTAGTCAAGACTACATCACCTTGGCACTTGCACAGTTTTACAGGTACGGGAATCGGAAAACGAGATATGCATGTCAGCATGCTCAAATCCAGCACCGTGTTGAAGCTAGGAAAAGTGTAAAGGTCTCTCATGATGAGGGTGTCAGATCTGAAAGCGCGTGTCTTCGAGAGTTGTCTGAAGTTTAAACACCATCCAGCCTGAAGGTGTTACTTGGACCCATGACCTCAATGCGTTCGTTGTACATCCTAACTAGACCAGTCTCTGGTGACTGTAGGCCACTCAGTTCAAAATGGAGTTTGTCAAAAGGCCAGAATCTTCACAGAGAATTGTGATTTTGTCCTTTGGCACATTTCAAACAGAAGCTAAGAACCTCGGAAGGCATTCAGAAAACATTTCGCGAAGTGCTCTGGCATCCTGTGCCTTTATATCCCAGCTACCCACAGGGAAAGTCCCAGCTACCCACAGGGAAAGTCCCAGCTACCCACGGGCAAAGTCCCAGCTACCCACGGGCAAAGTCCCAGCTACCCACAGGGAAAGTCCCAGCTACCCACGGGCAAAGTCCCAGCTACCCACGGGCAAAGTCCCAGCTACCCACAGGGAAAGTCCCAGCTACCCACAGGGTAAGTCCCAGATATCCAGAGGGTAAGTCCCAGCTACCCACAGGGAAAGTCCCAGCTACCCACAAGGAAAGTCCCAGCTACCAACGGGGAAAGTCCCAGATATCCACAGGGTAAGTCCCAGATATCCACAGGGTAAGTCCCAGCTACCCACAGGGAAAGTCCCAGCTACCCACAGGGAAAGTCCCAGCTACCCACTGGGAAAGTCCCAGCTACCCACAGGGAAAGTCCCAGATATCCAGAGGTCCCAGCTAGAGTACATAACCAAGAGTGTTCAACTCCTATCTTGAGCTGCAATGGGTTCACCCACGGCGGAATTTGATTATTGCGTCATTCTTTGGCAGAAGCATGATGAAGAGGGTATGCTTTCCCGCGCTTGTTTTGTAGATACGGTGAGAGTTGGTCAGGTTCAAGACACGTACACAACGATCTATCGTCCGTTGTTCATGTTCTGCTTCGACTACCATAGCTGTAATGTACAAATCACTTGTACTTTGATCTCTGGCTACGCATGATGGCATCAGCGAGCCAAACCGCCGCCAAAGACTGATGTCATAAAAAAAATTCCGCCGCGGGCTGGGGGATCGTCGAGTTGCACTCTTGGTTATGTACTCTTGGTCCCAGCTATCACGCAGGGAAAGTCCCAGCTTGATGCTGCGAAACACTGCACACAGAAGTCATTGACGGTTGGTAATCGAAATCTGAATGTAAGGCTGCAAATGGTAAAGGCTTCACCAATTCCGGACGGGTCAATTGACTCCATGCAGTAACTAAGTTTGGGATATTTTCCTTACTTCTTGTTGAACTACACCGGAGGTGTCATACACAAATGAGACATGGCGAAGATTTGAGGTCTCCACAGCCCGCTGATATTGCGTAATTGTGGTGTGAGTGATATGCTCGGTGCCTATGGGGCAGACGTGGCTGGTGGCATAGTGTGTGCTGGAAAGGAAGTAGGGCGCAACGACCAGATCCATCCCATCAAAGTGATAAGCTGAATTAGCATGGTACTCTGAAAGAAAAAACGACAACACAAACAAGCTCGTTGAGCGGCCTGAGCAAATGTTAGGAGTGGATGTGTATTATGTTGATTTGTTGATTTTTGTAGTAACACACCATGATGCAACACGCGGAGAGGTAAAATTAATAATATTAATAATGTAGAAAGGAAAAGAAAATATAGATACTGTGGGAACCAGCACACTCATGCACATGTACATAATGTGGCCTGGCCTGCGCGACACATGATGCGAGGTCACCAATTATTGTGCGCAATCTAGCTGCACATGCACAGATTGTGACAGAAGCTCCTATACCACATACTAGTTGCTAACTCAAGAGTTCATAACCCCCATGAACTCTTGATGCTATTTTGCATGGTGTATTGGTGGATTTTAGTGTGAACACAGGCCTAATAAACTTTTTTTATTTTTCGGTAATTTTTTTTATTTTTTTCCACCTCTCGCATACGTTTTTAGGGTGCGTTCTTAAATTCTCTAACTTCTAGGAGAAGAAGAAAAGAGAAGTCGAAGAAACTGGGATTCTTCAAGAACGGGTCTCGAAGAATTCGGAGATATTTTGCAGATGTCAAGCAAAATGAAGCGCCAAAGGGGCCGCGATCTTGAGTGCCACGAATATAGTATGCGCTGTGCGTATGTGAAAAGGGAAATGCGTACACTCATGATCAACACGTGGCCTTTAGCCTAGTTCGCATGCGCTGACCCCAAACCGCGGGAATCTCCAAGTTTCAACCACCTCTGAAGCTTGGAGAGCTTGGAGAGCTTTGGAGAGCCTCCTAAAATTCGGAGAGGATATAAGAACAGCTCTCGAACTTTTCGGAGAGTCTCCAACTTTTCCGAGAGGATTTAAGAACGCACCCTTAGATTTTCAGGTGACGAGAAACATGGAAAAAAACGTGTGGCCTAATAATAATAATAATAATAATAATAATGTAGAAGAGAAAAGGACATAATGGATACGAGTTAAGAGTAACTCTCCATCACTGTAACATTATTTTATATACATTTATTCCCGTAGCTATGCAGACGTTACTTAAGTAACGTCTGGCGCTAGCCAGGGTCCACACAGCTTTAATTTGGTGTTTGTTTGTTTGTTTGTGCCACGCCTGGCGCTATCCCGTATCTGTCCCGTACTGTACCGTACCAGCAAAGACAGCTGGCCACAATAGTTTTGTTTTCTGTGCCATCGCCATGCCTGGCGCTATCCCGTACCATCAAGAGAATGAGTATACAGTGGTCCCTCCATAATCCGGCACCATTTGTGCCACGGAAATCTGCTGGATTAGGGAGGGTGCTGGATTAACAAATCTGATCTACTGCTGCAATGTGCATGAAGAGGACATTTGGCTACTGAAAATTGTGCTGGTTTATCGAGGGTGCTGGATTATAAAGTGCCGGATTAGAGAGGGACGACTGTATATGCGAAGTGTATCGGGGGGAATGCATTCAGTGCAGTAACATTTTGTGTGGATTTGTGTGCGAGGCCGAGATCCCACTAGCAGCCTGGCTGGGCCGCCTGTCGACCAGCCCGGGAATCGCATGTAGGCCGATAGCATAATGATTATAGCGTATATCCAGTCATGTAGATGTATAGTAGGGAGTCATATTATTTAAACGACTCCCTGCTGTATGGGGAGATTTTCTGGGAAGAAATACGAAGTAGGGAGACGAGTAAATGCAATCAGAATGGATGTTAGTTGCCGTCAGTATAATAATAAGAAGAAGAAGAACGCCCGTGATCGGCAGAGTCAGCGCCGGTCCCAGGAAACGTCAGGACAGACATCCCGTCGACTCCAGAACGCCCGTGATCGGCAGCGTCAGCGCCGGTCCCATAGCTATGCAGAAGACGTTACTTCAGTATCTCATTGAAACGTTTTTGCAATACAATGATGTAGCTAATCAAAGGAAAAAGCATTTCCATCAGTTCTAACAACATGCACGATGAGCTAGGCAACAAAGCATAGCGCAGGGCCCTGAGCTTCCAAGCTCTCTCGTTTCCGAGTTTCAAATAATAATAATAATCTTCACTAGTTTGAGGGAAAGAGACAAATGGGGAAAGTCTTAAGAAAAAATTGACTGTTAACACCAGAACTCGAATCAGGGACCCTCGCTTGTAGCTAGCGATGCTCTAACCACTGAGCTATGGTGTAGTCGACATCCCAGCAGAGACTGTTCAACATTTTCCTCAGACTTCGTAACTCACACTTCCTGTGAATCCGCACAGGCGGGTGGGACGCAGCCCTCACTGTACCCACACACGTTACGTACACTCTAGCACGCGGGGAGCCCCAAGTCATAAAATCTTCACTAGTTTGAGGGAACGAGACAGCTATGGTGTAGTCGTCATAATAATAATAACGGCTACACCATAGCTCAGTGGTTAGAGCATCGCTAGCTACAAGCGAGGGTCCCTGGTTCGAGTCCTGGTGGTGACAGTCAATTTTTTCTTCAGACTTTTCCCGTTTGTCTCTTTCCCTCAAACTAGTGAAAATAATAATAATATTAATAATTTAAAAATTCGACGAGGAGACAATAATTTTAATATGGCAATAAGTAGGACGAGCTGAAGCGACATGTGGACTACTTTATTAACAATGTAAGCGATGGAGACGATGCAAGAAACAACCTAAAGGGTAAGGAAAAATACATGTAAGAAGAAAAAGGGCAATGGAAAAAATAGATGATTCGAACAAGTTTTCGTACAACACTCTTCAGGAATCACCGTTGTACTAAAGAACAAAATGAGAACAAAGGAAATAATATAGCAATCAAGGTAGGGTGACACGATACAATGACAGCACTAGAATATCGAGGTGCGATTTCTCACAAAAGTGTGCAGAAAACAAGGGTATACAAGTAAGAACTAAGCGTGACAAGTGTGTATCAGCAACAAAAAACAAAAAAGTGAGAACGAATGATAATAATAACAATAATAAACAAGAAGGTGACAAAACACATTTAGGCACAAGTGGCAACAACGTTGCCACACTACACAACAGAACATTATTTGAACAATTTTAGGGTAATAACACTATCTTTCTGGACACACAAATTCGGCTTATGAATGCGCTGACAAACAGCTTCCAAAACTTGTAACTGCAAAAGATAACCATGACGAGCACGGCACAAAACAGAAAAACAGGAATCAGAATAAGTACGACAACAGTCAGTACTAGAAACCAAATGATTGTATACTGAAGACTTGTTATTACGAGACGGACGCACACAATCTCGACTCACGCGCACACCCTCACACTCCCTCTCACCCTCACTCAGCTCACCTTCTCCCTCACTGTCCGAATCAGAACCTGCTCCGTCATCCACCGCGGTTTGACTCTCCTCCTCACTTGCATCGTCCTGCGTCTCACCTTCACCACCCACGCCAACCCTGAATGCCGTTGCCTTCACGTCAGTCGTCGTCCTTTCCGATTGTTTCCTTTGTATTTTTACTGTGAATTCATAGGTCCGGTTGTAATCTGCTGTAGATCTCCGTGGTCTGTCATTTGCTGCTTTGTTTTGTGGATTAGTTGTTGTTGTTGTTGTTGTTGGATGTGAACCTGGTGTTGTTGTTGGATGTGAAGCTGGTGTTGTTGTTGCCGCCATGGTTGTTGGTCTTTCTGTTGAATCCAGCTCTGGTTCCGGTGGGACAAATCGACCACCACGGGTGCTCCCCACCAACACAGACCTCGAAGGAGGAGGGTCAGGGGGAGGCAGAGGTGCTGTCACCACTCGAGGCACAGCCCCATGCAAAGCATCCAGAGGCAAAGACCTAGGCACACCCGAGGGCTGCACCAGTGGCGGTTCCGCACGCACCTCCAAAGAGCTGCCAAGCTCCAGCCCGTCCAACACAGATGTCAGAGGGGGAGCGGCAGACAGCGGCAGGGAACTATCCTGCCGTCTAGGTGATGGGTTTTTCCTAGGCCTCCCGCGTTTGGGCCTCTCAGATTGCGCACTGGGTGGAAGGATGTGAAGTGGAGTGTGTTGTTTGATACGTGCGTTCAGGTGCTGAACAGTCCTACCAACATACCGACTAGCACAATGTCGGCATTCGAAGTTGTAGATAACATGACTGAGGTGGAGGGTTGGTAGGACGTCCTTCCGCACCGTGAACGCACGCATTGTTGTGAAGACTGGCACAAAATGTACTGCATAATAAGTACGACGGACGATAGACTTGACTGCGTGACACACTTTGATCGATTCCTGCCCCTTCCATGGCAAACATAGATAGACGGGACAGCGAGGTGGACCAATCAGCACCGATTTCGGTTTCTGCTCCATGGACAGAAACTTACGCAACAAGAATTCTGGGTAGCCATTCTTCAAGAAAACAGATCGAAGGAAATCGAGCTCGGCCTGCAGCTTACTGGGCGAACAAATACGTTTCGCACGGTCCACGACTCTGACATCTGTGTTGGACGGGCTGGAGCTTGGCAGCTCTTTTGAGGTGCGTGCGGAACCGCCACTGGTGCAGCCCTCGGGTGTGCCTAGGTCTTTGCCTCTGGATGCTTTGCATGGGGCTGTGCCTCGAGTGGTGACAGCACCTCTGCCTCCCCCTGACCCTCCTCCTTCGAGGTCTGTGTTGGTGGGGAGCACCCGTGGTGGTCGATTTGTCCCACCGGAACCAGAGCTGGATTCAACAGAAAGACCAACAACCATGGCGGCAACAACAACACCAGCTTCACATCCAACAACAACACCAGGTTCACATCCAACAACAACAACAACAACAACTAATCCACAAAACAAAGCAGCAAATGACAGACCACGGAGATCTACAGCAGATTACAACCGGACCTATGAATTCACGGTAAAAATACAAAGGAAACAATCGGAAAGGACGACGACTGACGTGAAGGCAACGGCATTCAGGGTTGGCGTGGGTGGTGAAGGTGAGACGCAGGACGATGCAAGTGAGGAGGAGAGTCAAACCGCGGTGGATGACGGAGCAGGTTCTGATTCGGACAGTGAGGGAGAAGGTGAGCTGAGTGAGGGTGAGAGGGAGTGTGAGGGTGTGCGCGTGAGTCGAGATTGTGTGCGTCCGTCTCGTAATAACAAGTCTTCAGTATACAATCATTTGGTTTCTAGTACTGACTGTTGTCGTACTTATTCTGATTCCTGTTTTTCTGTTTTGTGCCGTGCTCGTCATGGTTATCTTTTGCAGTTACAAGTTTTGGAAGCTGTTTGTCAGCGCATTCATAAGCCGAATTTGTGTGTCCAGAAAGATAGTGTTATTACCCTAAAATTGTTCAAATAATGTTCTGTTGTGTAGTGTGGCAACGTTGTTGCCACTTGTGCCTAAATGTGTTTTGTCACCTTCTTGTTTATTATTGATATTATTATCATTCGTTCTCACTTTTTTGTTTTTTGTTGCTGATACACACTTGTCACGCTTAGTTCTTACTTGTATACCCTTGTTTTCTGCACACTTTTGTGAGAAATCGCACCTCGATATTCTAGTGCTGTCATTGTATCGTGTCACCCTACCTTGATTGCTATATTATTTCCTTTGTTCTCATTTTGTTCTTTAGTACAACGGTGATTCCTGAAGAGTGTTGTACGAAAACTTGTTCGAATCATCTATTTTTTCCATTGCCCTTTTTCTTCTTACATGTATTTTTCCTTACCCTTTAGGTTGTTTCTTGCATCGTCTCCATCGCTTACATTGTTAATAAAGTAGTCCACATGTCGCTTCAGCTCGTCCTACTTATTGCCATATTAAAATATTAATAATAATAATAATTATGTAGATGCACATCTGCTGTGTTTTCATGTTCAATAGCCAAGAGACTTGAATAACGACTGATAAAGAGATCTCCTTTGGTACTCCCTTCATTGGTTGATGTACTTTGCCTGTCGCATCAAATTCTTTATTATTGTTTTGATGTTGGAGTTCGGATTGAATTTCTTTCCTTTCTTCCTCTTCTTTCCCCTATTTCTTGTCCGTTTGTTTTTCAGCTTTTTTATTTTTCACTTTCTTTTTGCTGTCCCACCCATGGAAATATTTTCCGGTCGGTCTGGCGCATTGCCTTTGAAACAAATGAAGAAAGGAGACATAATAATAATAAACTAGCTCAGGCATGTGAGCACACACATACACGCACACATACACGCACACATACACGCACACATACACCTGCCCTGAACATTGCTGTGAAACGGTCAAATGTTCTCTCATGGGGGGGGGGGGGGGGGGGGCACCGACAGACAGACACCATGGATGCGCCAAACCGCCTATTCACATCATCCTAATACCAAGAGTATAAAAGCCCCCAAGAGTGCAGACCGCCTGCATTGCCCAAAGCATTTCCGACGACAGATGTGTGTGTGCATGTGTGTGCATGTGTGTGTGCATGTGTGTGTGTGCGTGCGTGAGCAGTTACGGACAGCTCGTCCTGCGAACGCTGCAACTTCCACTGAGCCTGCTGCAACCACTGTATGCTATTGCGCCAAGGCATGAAGCGTCTCTAGTGCAGCCATGACTCGGCTAGACCGTAGCTCCATTTGCATCGTTTGGATTTGCGGTCGGCGTTTCAGAGAATATGGCCTATTCTGCCATCGCCTCTTTTGTTCCGAACGTGCCCTCCCCCCCCCCCCCCCCCCCGTGGGGTCTGCAAAGCCAGAATATTTAGCCGTGTCCAAGGTCCAAAGTGTGTGTGTTTGTGGATGCATGCGTGCATGTGTGTGTGTGCATGTGTGTGTATACAGTATGTGTGTGTGTGTGTGTGTGTGTGTGTGTGTGTGTGTGTGTGTGTGTGTATGTGTGTATGTGGGTGTGTGGGTGCACATGCATAAGGCTGTGGGTATACATGTAACCACGGTATGGCACTTACCGACGGAAAGAGAGCATATAACGTAATTGAGATCCGGCCCGTTTTCATTGTAAGAAGCACCGGAAGTGGTTTGAATTTTATCATGCCGGTCACGAGCATCGATCCAGGCAGACTTTTCGTGATCAGTAACTGTGAATGGAAAGTTATGTGAGATACAGTTCGCTTCGAATTGGGACGCCAACCGTCCTTCAATCGACACATGCGGTGGCGGTCCTTCAGCTGCACTGGAAATTACTCTCTTGCAGTGATCTTTTGCCTGAACATAGCTCAACTTCTTCGGAAAAAATTTGAGCATCCTGTGTGCGACCAGACAAAATTTCTCACCTATCTCGGTTGATGGACAAACACAGAACACGTGTGTGCATATTCACACATACACAGACACGCACGCACAAAAAACATGGGCACACACGCATGCACATACACAAACTCCCGCTCATGCAAAGACACACGCACACACATATACACACACGGACACCCACCCACACAGGCAGGAACAAACACGTTGACACACAAACACATATGCGAGCACGTTATTGGAAATTTTGGATGTCGCTTAGATAGATAAGAAATATAAACAGTGTAAATTGGGTATTCACGACAAAAGAAGAAAAAAACAGCGAACAGCACTAATGGCCGGGTTCCACTGCAGCTCTGCTGCTCGTCATCAGCGGCTTGAAATGTCACAATTACCATAGTGACCGCGGCTCGAGCTGGAGCAGCGAGGCCGAAGCTCACGACGACACGAGATTTCTCTACGATTCTTGGTCAAAACTGCGAGCCGCGGCTCGACCTGTTTCCCGTATTTTGCATTGTTTTGCACGCGAGAATTTTATAATCAAATTTTAACTCGTTTCACAAACCACAACACAAGGATTTTTTATATTTTGCGCACTTGCGCGCAGGCAGGTAAAATGATCATCTCTTGACTGCGTATAAGATCATTTCTACCGAAATGTCCGATCTGGATCATTTTTGTTATGCGACGTTGCCATGGAAATCATGGCGTCTGAGTTAATCCTTTCCCATTTAGTGCAAAATGGAAAAACATCACCTAAGAATCTCAACAGCAAAAGGTAAGCAGCGGCAAACACACATCTTCACTAGTTCTGAATAAAGGGGTGGATCGACAAGCCGACTTACGCGGATCGAAAACGCACACCTGGTACTCCAGGCCATTTTCCAAGTGGCCCGTCTCTTTGTAAATCAAATCTCTGAACTCCAAAATACAGCGCATCTCGTGGGTGCCGGCACGGCGACCTATTTTCTCCTGGCAAAACGCGTCGGTCTTTAAAGGGTGGTCCAATGCTTGGTACGGATAGTGGACCATTGTAACACCACCCGCCTTATTAGCTTGCTCGCAGAAGTATTCCCCTGTCCGGCAGATAGGAAGGCAAGGAGCAAAAAAAGAACAAAAATTAGCACACAAACAATACATTAAACATAAAAGTAATCCCATGGAAATGAAGCAACTACCCACGCCTGTAAGGGGTTAATGAGCAGTCACAGAGTGTGATAACAGGGCACAATACTGACGGGCTACTGAGATATTCAAGCTAGAGCAACATCTCAGGTCGTGGAATGTCTCAGTAGCATGTCAGTGTTGTGCCCTGTTATCGTAATTTAAAACTGCTCACTAACTTGTTACAGTCGTCGATAGTTGCTTCATAACTCGTTTCCATGTGATTTCTTCTATTGTATTTATATTCACTGGTTCAGTATCAAACAATACAACCAGCAATACACCAGACAAGCAATAATGCCAACCATTGAAAACCATAGATCTGCAATACACTGTTTAACACCCCACACAACCATAGATCAGCAATACACTGTCCACCATTCTACACAACCATAGATCAACAATGCACTGTTCAATACGCCACACCGACTAAAAACATGCTGCTTAAATATATCTGATGGGTCTCTGTCATGGCAAACATTCGGGGTTACGTCATTTCAGCGTTGTAATGCATACAGGCAGGATTCAAGCAGGTCTCTTTCTGCGCACAGCTCATTTGTATGCACTACGCCACTTCACGCCTCAGGCCTACACCCAATATGATGTAATCCCGGAATTTCTCCGTGAACGACAACCATGCAGAAAAGGTCAGAAGCTGCATGTGTGCAATCGAATGTCACGAGTATGGCGTGATGTTTGTGTGTGTGTGTGTGTGTTTGTGTGCATGACAGTATAATAGGGAGTAGGGATTCACTGGCCAGAAAAGCCACTTCATAGCTATGTGGTGTAGACGAGGCTGAATAGTGGCGGTCAATTCTTCAGCCTCGCGAGCTGTTGAATGGTGCAATCCCAGCACAAGCTGCTATGCTTCTGCTGTAGCATCGCTATCATCGCCTCCGGCGATGGGCGTCTAATGGTCAAATGGTATGACAGTACACATGCCTGAAGAAGCACGCACAGCCAGCCTAGTCCAAACATCGGTACCGATATTGTAAGGCGGTGCAGGAGCCAGAAGTATTTTTTTTAACTTCTCGGACGGCTGCCCCATCATAGATTCACTAAAACAAGAGATTCTGATCAACACATGTGTTCGGCTTACTGAAATTGAAAGCACAAGCCACAGTGGCCAATAGTTTGGCGGTCCGGCCTGCTCTTTTGCTCTCATGCAATGTGTAGCTAGCTGAAATCACGTTGAGTGGTTGGTCCTCAAAGTCTTCTATCCAGGGCCTGGCTCCTTTAGCAGGCGATGTGCTCGTCGCAACATGCAGAGCGTGATTCAGGCAATCGCCCTCATCACTTCCAGCCGGTAAGCGCCCGCCTAGGCGTCCGCACTGTTCTTTCGCTTGTGTATACGTTCCGGTATTGGCGTACACGGCAATGTGAGCTCTAGTTTTATTACACGTGTAGCTGACCTCTGCACACAGAAAATAGCACATATTCACACATACAGAGAAACTGTGGGCCTGGAAAACAGAGAGAGAGAGAGAGAGAGAGAGAGAGTGAGAGAGAGAGAAATAAGGAGAAATGGTGAGTAAAAAGAGAAGAACAGAGAGCAAGAACAGAGAGCAAGAAAGACAGCAAGCAAGACACAGAGGAAGTGGGAGAGTGGAAGGACAGACGGAGCTAGAAATGCTGCAAGCAAAGATGAAAAGCAATTCCTCCTATTTCCCACTGACCATGCGAACATTGAAGAGAACTGCCCTAGCGTGTGCACACACACACACACACACACACACACACACACAAATGTAGATGCACAAAACACACGTATAAGCTGGCTGTGAACGCACAGAAATCATGTGCGTGTTCTTCGGCTGTGGGAAAAAAAAGGACCAGGCTTACCCGGTTCAACTTCACACACAACCTTGAGCTTGGGCGCTGGTTGAGATGCTAGATTATATGCTTTCCCGTCACTGGCAGTCTGCAACACCCCTCTCTTCTGGGCCAACCAGGCAACGCTGTCAGTGGGCCGAAGATAGTCCTGCACGCACGAGACCTTAGACGCGATATGTGCATTGAACTTCTGGCAATGAGCGGTTGCATCAGCGAAAGTCATCTCCACGGAGAAATACTTTATGATTGTTGATGGGTGGTACGGACATCGTATTTCCGCTGTTCAGTCAGAAATTGAACACAAACACAAACACATGCACGCACGCACACACACACTCACACACACTCACAAACATGCACACACACACACCAAAAATATAATTTTTGCAATATCTATGGTACGATATTCTGTGCGTAGACCACCTCTTTATTGCGTCACGTATGAACGAGAACACCGTATTTATAACAACCCGTCTACGGACTTCTTTAAGTCTCGGAGCGTGTAGCACCACTAGAGAAAAATGAAATACACCGTTCCGGGTGGAAACAAGAGTATGACACAGCAACCAATAGAGGAAGTTTCTACCATAACCTGGAGGTCAAATGCAAACACCCCCGTGTGCCTTTGCCTGTGAAACAATTGTCCAAACCCGGCACAAGCAGAAAACCACACCTGACCCGGCCCAAGTCGAAGACTAAAACTGTGGCACTGGGGGAAACCCCTACCATTGCTATACCTAATGAATGAGGGGCCATCCGTAAATACCGTAAAGTACTGTTGATCCGCCCCCACTCTAATTCCCCCCCCTTCGATTTTCTGAAGCGACTTCAGAATTATACGGTAGAGAAATTATGCGTCTTTCTGTACTCATGTCCATATGCATACAGCCAACCTTGTACCACTTTCTAGTGTGCAAACAAACATTCGGGTAAGAGTCTGTGTGAATGTGTACGTCAAGTTTGACCTTCCTCACCTGTTTGCGTCTGAAAGATACAACACCGCATTGTCGTACGACACTGCACCCAACAGCCTTGATCGAATTCCCGTTCCCCCCCCCCATGAAAAACAAGCTGAGAAGCGACTTGGCGTGGGGGGGCGGATCAACGGTACTTTACGGTACCGGCAATTATTTTTTGGTTAGAAACAACTGGTTTGAGGGAAAGGCGAAAACTAGTCGTTTCTCTTCAACCCTCCCCCCCCCCCCCCTAACTGAAAAACAAATACATACAAACATTCCGTAGTAGCGATGTTTATTTCGTTTTTTTCTGGATGTGCCCAGAAAAAACGAACAGGCGCTACCGAAATGCCTAGTTTTCGTTTCTAAATAATTATCTATATTAATTTTACGGATGACCCCTTAACCCATTGAACGCTGATGATGTCTATAGACGTCGCTGAAAATGACCCCCTCCCCCCACATGCGCGGATGGCGTTTATAGACCTCATGGAATTTATTGTGATTTCTCGCACTGCACAGTCTAGGGTATAGCGTATCCCTGTACAGTAGCGTATCCCCGTACATTAGTGTACGGAGTCTGCCTGTGTATAAAAGCTGCTGCTCACGATTCTTTTCTTTTCCAGTTATAGTCACATTTGAATTAGAGTTACCGTTATTTCAGTTCAGTTTTAAATAAACAACAGTGTGTTCACTGAGACCCTTGTGTTTTTGCCTCCAAGAGACTGCGGCCGGCTATACACAGTACTGTCGAGCGTCGAAAAACTGGAGGGTCCGGGTTCTAGCTAGGGGTGAAACGATTAATTCGAATATTCGAGTATTCGTTCGAAAATTTCAAACGAGCGAGTATTCGAAATTTTGCACTCGATCGTTTACTTTATATTTTTTTATTTTTTTAGTATTGGCATTGTATTTTTCAAAAACTTTTGTTGTACGGCTGGTCTACTGGTATGCATGCCTTATGCATGGCTTTGAGTCAGTATTTTAAGACTTGGACGATGCGATCACCACGGCAAGTAACGTTCTGAGATATGAAAGTACTGATGAAAATCGTTACTTTACACTCTGTACAAGACGTTGGCGACTTTTGTTCTATGTTCACAGATAATTTCTTCCGGATTGGTCGAGAACTCGCAAATCTAGTGCTTTTGAATTTTGATAAAATACTCGAATAATCGGATACTCGATCGAATATTATGATGATCGGTTGGTCAAAATAGATACTCGTTTCACCCCTAGTTCTAGCCTAGGCCGTTCTTATTTTTAGCGAACACAGCAGTTTCGTTCTTATTTGATGGAACAGCCTTACATGTACATTTATGCAGAGTTATACGTCCGAGCGTACATTACCGTAAAACCGAAAAGTCCAACGAGTCACAACGTCTAACGTTTTAGCGACCAATTATTTTTCGTTATTTGTAGAAAACGTTATCGCCAGATGACTGTTTAAGATGTGCATACAGATGGGTGGCCAGGTAGTCATCGTTAAACTTTCTGGACGTAATCATGCCAAACCTACAAACATGTTAGACTTTCTGGTTTTACAGGATAGTAATTACGGCTTCCACTCTTATCTGCAAAACATTCCCTAGACCGTTCTTAAAAATTGGTGAAATTCTAGCCAGGCCGTTCTTTGGCGCCTGACAGTACTGCATGGTGTGTAAAAGCACTGTTAGTCAGTTGGATCGCAATCTTGCCTCTTGTACTATAGGTCGCGGATACGAATCCCGCTGGGAACACCACGTGTCTTTTTTCTTCTCTTTTGAGCGATCTATCAGCTGCAATTGCGTGCATTTTAGCCATTTTAATAGCGTATTTCACGCACTTTGGGCAAACATGCGTCTCCTGTTGTGCTGGTTTTTTTAGGAACTGTATCTGTTACCCTGTGGTTCATCGTCTTGGTCAACATTTCCCTAAAAGTCAAGGTCCACAGTTGCCAGAATCCTGGAGTTTATGAACTTGCTATTGGTCCTGTTTTCTAGCATTTATATGCAGAGTACCATAGTCAAGGCCCAGTAGCGCTGAATAGGTTAAAAGCAAGTTGCGCAGTCAATATACACCACTCACACAGGTCAGGTGTCCTTAAATGTTTTCATTGCTATTTCTGTCTCCATGACAACTCCTAATTAGCCGCTATACTTACGTATACTTGGCGAGGCATCCAGCAACAAGGCTGCACATACAGAAGAGCAGAACATACACGTTATAGTGAAGAAAAAAGGACCAATACACTATAGTGTTCACTAGAATCTGCGAAGTAAAATAAACAACAACAACACCACCAGCAGTTACTAAACAATCGGCTCACGCGATGATGATATTGCATGCACGAGAGTACTGACGTCCTACAATCAACTGGCTAACAGCTCCTCATGTTTATGAACTTCAGTGAAAGAATTCCCATGCATATCCAGTCATCATCTACAACGCAACGAAACTCCTTCGGGAGAGAACAAAATGTCACTATATTCGATCTGTCACTAAACCCGACCTTCACAAAACACTTACTAAACGACTTGGGCAGCAGAATTGTGTCGTTTAACTTAATCTGTCATTCTATGCAAGGTCGTTTTATCCGATGTTCACTGTATCTTCCTTGTCGTATTTCAGCCAACTTACTCAAACCCTTGAAACAAACGTGTATCGGGAGTGCAGTGCGGCCAGCTTAGCTGAAAGGCCGGCAGCATGCGCTGAGGGACTAGAGTTCAGAGAACCCAAAGCGCTCCTCTGTTTATCACCGAGAGTCTACTCGTTGAAGTCCTCACCTACACACCCACCCACTCACCCACACACTGACAGCACCAGCACCTCTTAGCATGTGGAACAAATGCAGCAAATGACTGAAAATCACAGAGCAGCTGTACTCACGAGTGCAGACAGTGAGCATCAGGAAAATTACAGTCGTTAGTCCATGTCGGCGAGCCATATTGCTGGAAACGAGAGAGAGAGAGAGAGAGAGAGAGAGAGAGAGACAGAGAGAGAGAGAGAGAGAGAGAGAGAGAGAGACAGAGAGAGAGAGAGACAGAGAGAGAGACAGAGAGGGAGAGAGAGAGAGAGAGAGAGAGAGAGAGAGAGACAGAGAGAGAGACAGAGACAGAGAGACAGAGACAGAGAGAGAGAGACAGAGAGAGAGACAGAGAGAGAGAGAGAGAAAAACAGAGACAGAGAGAGAGACAGAGAGAGAGAGACAGAGAGAGAGAGAGAGAGAGAGAGAGAGAGAGAGAGAGAGAGAGAGAGAGAGAGAGAGAGAGAGAGAGAGAGAGAGAGAGAGAGAGAGAGAAAGAGAGAGAGAGAGAGAGAGAGAGCAAGGAGAAACACATACACACACAGAGTTTGGACAAGCCAAAAATATTGATGAGATTGGCTTGACCATTGGAGCATAGCAGCGAGACGTCCATCGTACTCCACAGATCCTAGAAAGGCGGCGGGTCATTGTTTTGAATTGTGCTGGGATATACATGTATGCACTAACAGTCCATTCATCGGAAACGTTCCCACTGGCTTTTGAAAGTCCTATTTGGGCCGGATTGACGATTAAATCCCCATTTTAAATCTCAAAAAGCTGGGTTTGGAATCTGCTTCTCCACACATTTTGCCATGGAATACCGGTCCTAATTTTAGGAAGACGGGTTGAATTTTTATTTCCCTATCCTTGGACTTTTCTGGCCTCAAATGTGGCAAGGGGTCATACAATGCAGGATGTATTGTTGTTTTCACGATATCTACAACTATGTGCCGGAAACACCAAAAGGTTAGGATGCCAGTTTCCTAAGTTTTTTAAGTGCCAGTGAAACAATAAAGCCCTCTCTTGAATAGTGCCCCCCCCCCCCCTCCCTCGAGCTTGTAACCAAGTTTGATGTTCTTTTGCTAATGTTCTTGTCCATGTCATTGCACTGGTGGTTTCAGGATCAAAATCACAGCTCTTGCTCTCATTGTTTTTTTGAGCTGTGATAGTAACCTTTATGCTCTATCTTGCTTTTGTTATCTGCTGGATGACGCAAATGCACCAGCATTGAACAAAGAGTGCCCTGTCTTGACTAGTGCCCTTGCTTGACTAGTGCCCCATTTGTGATGGACATTCAAAAATATTGCCCCAGAGGCATTTATCGTGCGACTACCGTATACAGTGTACACTGCTTTCCAAAACAGATCAATATAATACAGATCTGTCCCATGGGTCAAAACTGAGAAAACATCCAAATATATGGACATTTTTTCTGCATACTTTTCCCGTTTGTATCTTTCCCTAAAAAACAATGGACATCTACCGAAAGAAGTATTTTCTACCCAAACCTGTAGATCAAAAACGAACGCCCCTAACTCGAACTTGAATCCTAGGACTTCCAAAGAACTCGGATGGTGAGTCAAGTGGAAATTGCAACATGGACACATGTGCACAATCGACCACATAACTTGTGAGCTCATTTTTCCATGTTACATTTCCAAAAGAAAGTGTTTGCAAGTTGTACTGGACAAATTTCCTTGTTCTGTACATTCGAAGATATCTCTGGAGTTCTATTCCTCCGAAGCTAACACCCTACCCCGCTGGTATTGTAAGCGTCCGAGTGGCCTATGCCCGATGCAGTTTTTTGTATTAATTTGAACGGCTCCGCTCCTCGCGCCAAAGCTAGTTCGGGCGATGGTGGAGCAAGCTTATTTGGATGCGGAAGCATTTTCGAAAAGCCGCGCACGACTGGAATGGGTCCAGGTCAACAACCATGCAGTAGACACACCCGCACCTGCGCCGAGGCAGTCCTGAAAGTAGCAATGCAGATCATGCGCTCTTACCTGTGTCGAGTGGACTGAGAAGGAAGTGTGCATGTAGGTCTTCGGATCTTCAGCGGGAGTAGAGGGCGGCCGTCACTCACCAGCTTTCTGGAAAGTTCGGCAGCCGAGGAGCCGCCTGAAGGAACAACTGGATGGTGGCGTGCTGGGAGCTACACCCACCCGAGCACTATTCTGATCCAGGAAGGATTCAGGGCTCAGCGAAGCGTTGACAGAACACGAAATAGGTGAAATAAGAGGACACGAATAAATTAGCAACTGAATACTTTTGACTTCTCCAAGAACTGCTTGCATATGGGCTGAAAAAGCAAGGTTGATGAAAAGCACGAGTACAGCAGCAAGTACAATGTAGTACTGTAGTACAGTTATAGAACCTCTTGCAGCTTGTACATGTACAACGTAGTAAAGTCGACGAGTCGTCCCTCTCTAATCCGGTGCCACAGTTGTACAGTGGTGGCAAGTGAAATCCGACAGTTGGCAAAAATGAATGGGGATTGGATACCAATGCTCCTTATGTGTACCATCAAGAGTACATAACCCCCCAGAGTGTGCAACGCCGATCCAGCTCTGTGTAAAAAATAAAAAAATAAAATCCAGCTCTGTGTAGGGTCTTGGTCGAGCGGAATCGGATCTTCTGATGTCATGCGTACACTTCACACAAGCGCAAGGCCGGTCTCGAGGCAGGGCACCATTGTTTTTGATCCAAGAGTACCCGCGACTCCCCGGGTTTCCCTCAGATGTGTACGGTATTATGACGCAAAGATCCGATTCCGCTCGACCAAGACCCTATGCAGAGCTGGATCAGGCGTTGCACACTCTGGGGGTTATGTACTCTTGGTACCATGTTTCTGAACTGTGTGTATCTACGCTGTGACCTTTCGATCTGTTTGGGATGCAGTCAAGAGTACATGAAAACCAGAGTGTGCAGCTTGGGACCTTTTCTGCTATTTCGGTGTTTTGTGTGACTGTGTACGCTGCGTACATCCACCGACAAGTAAAGTCACCAGGCTATCCGTCTCAAAAAAACGAAATCAGGACAAACTCAGTGAACTGCACCACCGCGACTGGTTACGCAACTTTTCACCGTACCTGTGGCTTACAATGCCGTCAGAAATGACGTAGTGCACGAATTACGCTCCCACAGGAACCATCCCGAGTTGCACACTCTGGTTTATGTACTCTTGGTGTCTGTCACGGCGGAATTTCGTGATTACATCAAATTTGGCGCAGATCTGAGGCGGGAAATGGCGTAGTGCGTACAACTGAGCTGCAGTTGTGCAGAAAGAGACCTGCTTGAATCCTGCTTGTACGCACTACATCACTGAATGATGTAATCACGGAATTCCGCCGTGACAGCTGCCCTTCATAGCTAGCTGCACACTCTGGTTTTCATGTACTCTTCTTGCCAGTCTTGGTGCAGTGCATTACATATAGAAAAGCGATCCTGTCAGCTTTTCTATTACTAGGGAGGTTCTGCTATACTGTAAAAGCAGAAATTTTCGGCGGTGTAATATTTTCGGTATCCTCCAAAATCGGCGGTTCGGTAGAGGGAAATTTTCCGTAAAACCCGTTTTCCAGGTAAGTGTTCTAGTACTAAATGTATACAGCACCGGTAGTACCGAAATTTTCGGTGCGTTTTATTTTCGGTAAAAATTGTCGGCACCGAAGTTACCGAAAATAAAACACCACCGAAAATTTCTGCTTTTACAGTACGTGAAACGTAGAGAAATCACGTAGAGAGCAGATGTCTGGGTTAGAGTCTACGGCTTCGCGTGTTTTGGCTCCAGATTTCTACGCGGAGATGAGGTTCTCTACGTTGTGGCACACGCAGAGAAAATGCGTACGGATTTGCTGGGTATCGATCACTGCATGCAGAAAACTGCCAAATATGGAAGGGGAAAATCCCAGTACACATTCCACGTGACTTCTCTAGGTGAAACGTAGAGCAGAACAGGATTTCTTTACGTTACGGGAACGCGAAGAAAGTTCGCGTGATTCTTTGCGTCGCGTTCCCAAAACGTAGAGCAGAACCTCCCTATTGTGTTCACATGGCAAGAAAAACGACACCGCTATGCTACGTAAGTTTCTACGTAAGGTGCTCGGTATTTCACTTAGGCTACGTAAGTCTCTACGTAAGGTGCTCGGTATTATCTACCAACGGGTGGTAGCCGCGTGCTGTGCACGCGCACGGCAGACATTGGGGAGGTTCTGCTATACGTGAAACGTAGAGAAATCACGTGCTGCTGAGACCTCCTTTCGCGGAATATTACTCAATGACAGGTGAGTTGACCAGTTCCCTTTTAATCATTTGCTTGTGTTGACTCTTTCATTTACGAAAAGTGTGCTGATTTTGGGCGGAATGCAATAAATAATGGAGTTTGCAAAATAAATTCGTATGATTGGATTTGTTTACTCGTCTGGGCTGTTTGATTTATTATTTGTGAGTACCGCCGAGATTGCACTGCCCCAAATAAAGTTTCGTGCCGCCAAAGCAAGAAATACGATCTGCAATCTGTTTGTAGTACCTGCAAGAATGTGCTGTACATGTATCGTACTTTCTCTGTTGCTGTTTCAGTTGCCGTCATGTTGCTTAAGAAAGGTTCAGTAGAAAGGTTCTGCAAAACGAAAATTCGAACGAAGTTTCGCGACAGTCCTTGCGAAAGTGTGTACGAATTTTTGCACGAACTTTGCGTTCTGCACATTTTCGTAGTTTTCGCGGGCCAAGTGACCCGATCTCACGAAATTTCCTACGACAGTTCATTTCGCGTCCAAAGTTGCGAAAGTTCGTGCGAAGTACGCATTTTCGTTTTGCAGAACCTCTCTTGTGACTCATTTGTTTCATATGAGACGAGTCAATGAGTTGGTGTGGCTTAGAATCTTTTGCTGTAGAAGAAATCTATTCGTATGTCTCTTCGAGAAATAATTGTATTCGCTGGTTATAAAATAGGTTAAGACAAACTCACAGAATAAATACCTTCGGTCCCTTGGTGTTCGTCCTAAAGAGGTTCGACTGGATATCATTCATACTCACCAAAAGATGTTGTGTTAAGATTTTATTATTATGGAGTGCCTTGTTTATCTCTCAGTACCTCCAACCATAGCCTTGCCCCTTTTATCCTCAGGATCAGTGGAGTTGTTGGAACGAGGTGTCTGACTCAGCAATGTATTTGTTTACATTTTAATACATGTTTATTGTTCCTCCTTTGCTTTGTTGTTTTAGAAAATCATGGACTAACAGTTTGAAGTCATTGAACTGCTTCCAAAAGTTGTATCGACATCAACAGGGTTACGATTTCAGTGCAATATGATGCAGGATGACCTTATCACGATAACCCATGATTATTAACCATTATAAACACAGAATCAACAAAAACGCGACACGCACCTGGTTACATTTCTCAAATAAATCTGATCGAGGGTGGGGAAATCTGAAATATCTGAAAGGCAAGACAATTTTATGACAGAGTCATGAAATTCTGCTACAGCAATATGCACAGAATGACCTCCGTATAAAAAAAGGATCACCACGGTCCACCACTACTCACATGTTTCCCCGCAGAAGAACATGCTAGTGCCATTTTCTGCAAGAAAAGGCTTGCACATGAATGCGTATAATACGGTATTGATATGATGTGAAGGCCATCATTTACATATTGATATACATGTTTTTTTTTTTTTTTTTTTTTTTGATTGATTGATTTTTATTTAAGGATTGTCCAAAGGCCGCAGATGATGAGTGGTATCAAGAGTGTTTATCTACTCTTGGTGGTATGATGAGTGGTATGATGTCTGGTAGATTTTCCAGCAGGAAAGATACATTGATATACATGTACACTGTAGTCGCGCGCCCAAGAAGTTTCTAGGGTACCCTGTAAGAAGGCCTTAGGCCTGTGGGGATTGCCCTATCACAAATTTGATAATAATTTTTGATAATAATAAGAAGGTTGTTTCCAAGGGGTTAGACTGGGATGTTCTTATTTTGTCAGCAATCTTAGAAACAATTCGTCCTGGATGATATGTATCCCATAAGCTGCCAGAAAACCAACACCGCCGTTCTTAGATTTAGGCTGAGGCGTTCTTAGAATTTCAAGCTGGACGTTCTTGGGCTCCACGTTCTAACTTCTTCAGCGCGCGACTCTACTGTAGGGCATTCCATTGATTGGTGACAGAAAAACAAAAGAAATTGTAGCAATAAAAACTGCTTTATGGCAGTTTTCTAAAAAAAGTTATTGTGTTCTAGTCCATGGACCCCGTCTAAAAAGTAAGAAATTAACGAAATGTGATAGCCGATAATTAAAATTTCACACAAAACCTCACAATAATCACACACAGAATGAAAAGCTACATGTAGAAGACCTTTTCCCCTCGTGATTCTCTTTCCTATGCATGCATGACATGCATGTTGCCAATTGTTGGTGCAGTACAAGTTTAGTGTTGAAAGCAGCATTTCAAGTGTTGTGATTATTGTGAGGTTTTGTGTGAAATTTGTGAGTTCCGCACATTTTCGTAGTTTGCGCGGGCCAAGTGCACGTACGCCATGACCCGATCACACGAAAGTGTGTACGACTGTTCATTTCGCGTTCCCTGCAAGTTTCGCATCCAAAGCTGCGAAAGTTCGTGCGAAGTTTCGCACCTCCTGATGTAGAGGGAAAGTTTGTACGCATTTTCGTTTTGCAGAACCTCTCTAGTGACTCATTTGTTTCATACGAGACGAGTCAATGAGTTAGTGTGGCTTAGAATCTTTCGCTGTAGAAGAAATCTATTCGTATGTCTATTGGAGAAATAATTGTATTCACTGGTTATAAAATAGGTTAAGACAAACTCACAGAATAAATACCATCGGTCCCTTGGTGTTCGTCCTAAAGAGGTTCGACTGGATATCATTCAAACTCACCAAAAGATGTGTAAGATTTTATTATTATGGAGTGCCTTGTTTATTTCTCAGTACCTCCAACCATAGCCTTGCCCCTTTTATCCTCAGGATCAGTGGAGTTGTTGGAACGATATGTCGGACTCGACAATGTATTTGTTTACATTTTAATACATGTTTATTGTTCCTCCTTTGCTGTGTTGTTTTAGAAAATCGTGGACTAACAGTTTGAAGTCATTGAACTACTTCCAAAAGTTGTATCGACATCAACAGGGTTACGATTTCAGTGCAATAAGATGCAGGATGACCTTATCACGATAACCCATGATTACAAACCATTATAAACACAGAATCAACAAAAACATCTGTGACACGCACCTGGTTACATTTCTC